AGAAGTTCTGCTATGGAGAATTTAGTGTTGGAACACAGAAAGTGCTCTTATAACAGTTCAGCCTTCTAGCCCTGCATATTGTCTCCTCAGATGGACTGCAGCAATTCAAGGATCCAGACTTTTCCAGCAGTGCCTGGAGGTTTCAGGGAGTGAATCTGGGCAGGGGTGAGCCAAGATACCTTCCTATGTGTGGCACAGAACAAACTGCTCCCCACCCCACCCCCATTCCACATATCAAAACCAAAAGTGCTAGTAGTTTAATCTTTCTTCAGTACTGGTAACAGAACACTGCACACAAGGGTAGTCAACTATCTGATGCGGTGTAAGGTATTCTTGGATCTCTGGGTGATTTTGCATCAGATCAGCAAGAATGCCTGACTCCCAGTTGTTGTAGAAAAGCAGCTTTGAAAGGACTGCCCTCTTCCCCATCTCTAAATTATAATGCCAAGATGAAGAAAGTCTGGGGTAGCCAGGGCTAGGACTGTGCACACTGTTCGTGTCTTGTGCGCAAAAGCAATGGTACAGCTACATCAGGTACATGTGCTGAAGTCCACAGCTCCTCTGCACAGGAGGCCCCAAGCAACCACCCAGAAAGCAGTCCTGGTATTGGGACCTGGGCCAGCAGGACTTATTGGAATGGCATTGGGAGCTACGACATCCTTTCTTCTGGTGTGCTTGGGGTCAGCAGAGATCGCCTTTTGGAGATCACTTCTAAGCCAGTCTCTAATTACAAAGTGATTCAGAATTCCCCCTTCCCTCCCACTCAGCAGCTCTTGAATTGGAGGATTTGTTCAGCCTGAACTGGTAGCTGTTATTTGGCTAGGCCTGAGGAGTAGCAGAAAATCAGGTTGGAGAGTTTGAATAGAAAAAGGAGAAGAAAGCCAAACTGGGATCTCAGGGAAAAAAGAAAAAAATCCTATTTAGTTGAGTGGGAGCCAGAGGTCTAGTAGGCTGGGAATGTTGTGAACCCTCATCTTTGAACTGAGTGTGAATAAGCCTTCCATGAAAGAAGCACCACAAGCCTTGAGCATCTTCTTTCTCAGGAAGCTGAAAACTGACTGATTAATGTTGCCCCTGGAACTCCTCACCTCCTAGAAGAAGCATAACATTTTGTTCTTATCTCTAAAAGCGTGTTATATTTTTGAGCCAGCTGGCTATGCATGTGGTTATTGATGCACTTTTTATTAATTTACTTGAAAGGATATTATCTTCTTTGGTAACAAAAGGAAATGTATCTGGCATTAGGACAAGAGAAGCATTATATTTTGTGTAATCATTGCTAAGCCAAAACTTAAGTGAATTTAAAAGGCAAAACTTCACACTTTCAGACAGAGATGCTATGAGGGTAGACAAAGAGGGTTTTGAATGAATATTTAGTCTAACATATCAGGAATATACATGCACTTACACCATGGAATGGTGGAAGTGAAGAAAGAAGAGGGATATTATTTGCATGCTGCGCATCATGGAGAAAGCTAGGAAGTTCCAGAAAAACATCTACATCTGCTTCCTTGACTAGGCTAAAGCCTTTGATTGTGTGGATTACAACAAATTGTGGCAAGTTCTTAAAGAGATGGGAATACCAGACCGTCTTATTTGTCTCTTGAGAAATCTATATGTGGGTCAAGAAGCAACAGAGAAAACTGGACATGGAACCACTGATTGGTTCAAAATTGAGAAAGGAGTTCAGCAAGGCTGTATACTGTTGCCCTGCCTATTCAACTTATATGCAGAGCACATCATGAGAAAGGTGGGGCTAGATGAATCACACGTTGGAATTAAGATTGCCAGGAGAACGATCAACAACCTCAGATATGCAGATGATACCACTCTAATGGCAGAAAGTGAAGAGGAACTAAAGAGCCTCTTGATGCGGGTGAAGGAGGAGAGTGCAAAAGTTGGCTTGAAACTCAATGTTAAGAAAACTAAGAGCATGGCATCTGGTCCTTTCACTTCCTGGCAAATAGATGGAGAAGAAATGGAGGTAGTGACAGATTTTTTTTTTCCTGGGCTCCAAGATCACTGCAGACGGGGACTGCAACCAAGAAATTAAAAGACTCTTGCTCCTTGGGAGGAAGGCTGTGGCAAATCTAGAAAGCATACTAAAAAGCAGAGACATCACCCTGCCAACAAAAGTGTGTATAGTCAAGGCTATGGTTTTCCCAGTTGCAATGTACGGCTGTGAAAGTTGGACCATGAGGAAGGCTGAGTGCTGAAGAACTGAGGCCTTTGAATTGTGGTGCTGGAGGAGACTCCTGCGAGTCCCATGGACTGCAAGGCAATCAAACTGGTCAGTCCTAGTGGAGATCAACCATGACTACTCTTTAGAAGGCCAGATACTGAAGATGAAACTCGAATACTTTGGCCACCTAATTAGAAGGAAGGACTCACTAGAGAACACCCTAATGCTAGGAACAATTGAAGGAAAAAGTAGGGGATGACAGAGAATGAGGTGGCTAGATGGAGTCACTGCAGTAGTTGGCGTAAGCTTGAGTGGACTCTGGGGGATGGCGGAGGACAGGAAGGCCTGGAGGAATGTTGTCATGGGGTCACGATGGGTCGGACACAACTTTGAGATTAACAACAACAACAACTGAAAGTGGGAACATTCAAAAATTATTAACTCCAAGATCTAATATTAACTAGCTGCACCACTGCTCAAATCAAGTTTCTGGGTTAGAAATTCTTTAATTCTTAGAGTACTTCTCAATAAAGCATTGAGTGTGCAAATCCCTACCTCAAATAAAGGATTTAGTGGGAGGGGAGCATCTTCCATTTGTAACCCTCCTACAAATTCTCCCATCTTCCTTCAGAAGATCAAAAAATAAAAAATCCATTAATGATGGAGAGACAAAATAGCTTCACATCCTGTTTTTGATAGCAACTATAATTTTCACTAGACTCTGGTCGATGGCTCTCAAGGTCCAGGTAAAAAGCAGAGAAGGTTTCATAAGCCTAAATGTCTTACACATGTCTAAATCCTGATTTTGAGGGTGGGAGACAGCCTCACCCAGATTTATCCATTCACACCTGGGCACTGCTTCATAATCCCCAATGTCTGCTGTTTGAGAAACCTGCCTAATCTCACCTGATATTGAGTTAGTGCTGAATGGATATGATTGCATGATTGAAATGGTTGGCCCAAGTTGGTAAATAGGTGGGAAAATTAGAGGACTGGGTTCAAAGAACAAGATAATCTGCATTCAGGGGTAGAATATGACTTCAACATGGGTTGTTGAAAAGTGGATTATAGGGTTGCCTGAACCTAGCAAAGATAGCAATCCATGGTGGACAGCCCAAAGTTCACAACCCAAAGGAAACCATCAGTTCTCCTCAAGGGTTTTTCTTGATTAACACAGCGTGGGTTGTTAGTGCAGCCAGATTCAACCAACCAGACAACCTGCATTTATGTTGCTTGTTTCTTTTATTGTTGTGATTTTAATGGTATCTTTAATTTGTTTGTTTTGAGTTGCATTTTTATGAAGATTTTGGTCTTATTCTAGAAAGGTAGGATATAGAATCAGTAAATATATTTTGGGAATGGAAGCCAGTTTTCTGAATGATTTTATCTATTTGTTTATTTGTTTGTTTATTGCATTTATGTGTATACCATCCCAATAGCCCAGAGGGCTCTCTGGGTGGTTTACAAACATTAAAACCCCAAATACAGTGCCCAATCCTAAACAAATAAATAAATTGGCTACACAATGACTGAGTACAAAATAACATGGTTAAAATGAATTAAATAAATATACCATTAAAATTAATTAACTTTAAAATATTGGTTAAATAAAAAGGTCTTGACCTGGCACTGAAAAGCATATAATGACGGCGCCAGGCAGACTCCTCTAGGGAGTGTATTCCATAGTTGAGGCGCCACTGCAGAGAAATCTCTCCTCTGAGTACTCTGTCTCCTAACATCTTTCAAAGAGGGTCCCTGGAGGAGGGCCTCTGTTGCCGATCTTAGGGGGGTGGGAGTGCATATAGGGAAAAAGGCGTTCCTTTAGGTATCCTGGTCCCAAGCCATTTAGGGCTTTATAGGTAATAACCAGCACCTTGAATTGAGCCCGGACTTCAATGGGAAGCCAGTGGAGCTGATAGAGGACTGGACTTATATGAGAATAACAACCAGTCTCTGACAGCATCCTGGCAGCTCTATTTTGCACCTTCTGAAGTATCCGGACCTTCTTCAAGGACAGCCCCACATTTATCAAACCCACAGGTCTGAGCTTAAAAGGTGAGTGAAAGGGACAACTTTTAGGAATGTACAAGAGGAAGCTGAGGTACTGAAGTTGTGTTTCTTGAGGAGGAAGAACTAATCGGATGTGGGGAAAGGGCCACTCCATAAGGCTATGCCAGGAAAGGAATGTGTCTTGAAAGCAAGAGAAGAAGCAAAAAGCAAGTGTTAGAAACACATTGAGGAGATGATGTGCTATGTGTCAAGAGGAGTACAAGGTGAGTAGCAAGGACCCAACCCAAGAATACCTGGGAGGTAGGCAGGGCTGTGAAAGGAAGGGAGAAGGACAGAATAGGAAGTCAAAGGAGGCATTTTGCTAAGTGCTGTCTGAGGTTCAGCCTTCTCATTCACTCCAGTGGCAACTGAAAGTCAGGTCAGGGGCTTGACTGCCCAGCCTGCTCACATGCCCACCTGACCTATGGTCAGTAAGGGAAGTAAACCCTCATTAACACTGCTAGAAGCCAGGAACCATCCAGAAATAGTTGATGCAGCCCTGGTGCTCCACCTCTGCTGGCCCCACGGTGTGCTTGGGACCCACTGCATGTGCAATGAGGCTTTTGCACTTCTAAAGAAAAGCCCGCAAAAATGACTGGGAATGTTTATTTCCACATCAGGACAGATCTGTGGAGCTTCCTTCTGTGAATTCTTATGACCTGTGCCATTCCAGAAACGTGTGCTTCTGCTCCTCTTGAATTAATCTCAGAACTGGCAAGTTAACGTATTTGCTTCCAAGACTCAACAATCTATCTCTGTTTCTCCATAGATGACTGGAAGATACTGGAAGAACCAGACTGCAGTGAATGGGTTCATTTTGTTGGGATATCAAGAACACCCCATTCTCCTCTTTATTTTCTTCCTAGCAACATACATGGGAATTTTATTGGGCAATGGCTTGATTGTAATGGTCACAACATGGGATTCTGCTCTGAGCTCCCCAATGTATTTCTTCTTGCGCAGTCTCTCAGGACTGGAGATATGTTACACCTCAGTCACCCTGCCGAAAATGATGGCCAACCTGCTCTCAGGAAATCACTCCATCTCTCTGCCAGCCTGTGCCTCACAGATGTTCTTCCTGCTCTTCCTGGGTGCCACAGAATGCTTCTTGCTGGCATCCATGGCCTATGACCGCTATCTTGCCATCTGCCTGCCACTCCGCTACATGATAATCATGAGCCATAGACTGAGGATGGGGCTGGTGACCGGCTCCTTCTCCATCAGCCTCCCCATGCAGTTGTTGCAAATTGGGCTCATCTTCTCCTTGCCTTTTTGCAGGTCCAATGAGATTGACCACTTCTTCTGTGACATCCCGCCAGTACTCAGCCTGGCATGTGCTGACCTCTATGCTAACGAAGTAGCTGTGTATACAGAAAACTTCCTCTTTGTCATCATCCCCTTTTTTCTCATCTTGGCCTCCTATGTGTGCATCTCCAAGACCATACTGCGCATGCCATCCACCATGGGGCGCCAGAAGGCCTTTTCCACTTGCTCCTCCCACCTCACTGTGGTCATCCTCTTCTATGGCTCTGCAATGCTTGTGTACCTGCAACCCAAGACACCTGACTCTGTGAAGGTGGACAAAGTGCTGTCCCTACTCTACACAATCATCATTCCTCTCTGCAACCCTCTCATTTACACCCTGAGGAACAAGGAGGTGAAGGCTGCCCTTAAGAGGCTCTTTCAAAGCAAAAGACCATTTGAAATAGGCGCAAGTAGGGCAGATTGAGTCCACCCGCACAGCCTCACTCATAATAGTGCATAGCATTGATATATTGTAGTATATTAGTGTATTAGCATTGGTATCAAAGTGCCCAATAGCTCTATATGGTAAAGGAGCATGGCTTTTCATATTGCATATGGAGGAGGGGAGCTGAGGCTGAGAGACTTGGCTAATGCTGCCTCATTTCATGACCATGGGTCTGGAGGTTCAGTGCCTCTCCAGAACTGAATCTGAGCCCAGCTGAGACACTGGCCACTCCACTCCAGAGGGTATCCCCAGGGGCCCCTAACACATCCATCCTCCTATTAAACTTAGCCTTCAGAGATCACTGAGCCCCTTGATGTGATCACTGCTTCCTCCTCCTCCTCTTCCTCCTCTGCTTCAGGAGCTTTTGTTGAGTTTTCAATAGCATTTATTTTTTATTTATAATTTCTATTTGATTTTTATAGTCTTTCAACAAAAGCAAACATCAGTGTAAAACCACTGAGAGTAGAAAACAAGAGCAAAAATGCAACAGGAGGAGCTATGTCCAGCCTATAGCAGATCCTGTAGAGAACTGTCCAAGGTGCTAGTCATTTCTGTCTTGCCAATAGTTGCCTGCTGCTATCAATTATCTTGAGTGCCTGACTGACTGAGGTCCTGCTATCTCTGGGACCTAACACCATCCAGGATATGTGGTGAGCACACAGCAGAGATCAGCACACTGGGGACTTCCTGATCCTAAAGCTCTGTCTCTTAGGATCTGCTCTGTATCTATTATCCTGCCCTTTAGTTTGTTCAAAGTCCACTTTGTCCAAATGTTGCAAATATATGCCCATGCCTGAAGTCAAAAGAAAGATGATAATCTTCAGCTGGCCAAGTTGCTATGAGAAGGGAACCTTACTTATTGGAAGGGCAGATGTGACATCACAAGGAGTGCACAGATTCCTGGACTTTTTCTCCCAGAACCAAGTCCCTTTCTTCTGTAGCATGGTATCCCCAGCTGTATGGAACTAGATAGTCACTTTCTACTACAGTCTGCAACAAGGAGATGAGCTTTTCTAGGACACATATAGTCATTTTCTTGTTCTCTTTCACATTTCTTCCCTCTGGTTTTCTCTCTTTTCTCAAATTTGTTTGTCTTCTGTTTTTTCCATCTCCTGCTCGTGGTACAATGCTATTTCAGTCTGCTGAAAAGTAAGACCCACTGGATACAATGGGAATAATCCCAGATAAGTGAGTATAGAAATGCAAAATGATGGTTGGTAGAAGGAAAAAGAATGGGCAGGTTTCCACCATCCCCTGGAAAAGAAGTCATGGGGGCCTCTTCTCTCCACCTGTGCTGGTAACAGGCCACAGATTGGCCTAATTCCACTCCTGGTGCAGGAGTTGCTGGGTCATCCAAGCCTGACACAGTGCACAGTTGGGGGGGGGGGGTTGAAACTGCCCAGAACTTGTCCAGGGTCATTCCTTACTCACTCACCTGGGAGTAAAACCTATAGAACACAAATGGGATTTACCTGAGAGATGTGCAAAGTATTGCTCTGTCACTCTCTCTCTTTCCTACCACCTCTCCCATTTTTTCCTTAAAGGTGATGCCAGCGCTGGTTCGTTCCCAGGCACCAGGGGAGATTGCTCCAAGGCTTATCCAGCACAGGGTCCAGGTGTGGTTTCCCCACAAAGGAGAGAAGACCTGACACAGGCACCTGAAGACAAAGAGGGCCTTCAAAAAACCAAAGAGGCAGCTTACACAGGGCCATGCTAATGAGGCTGTATTTTCATAGAATCATAGAATAGTAGAGTTGGAAGGCGCCATGAAGGCCATCGAGCCCAACCCCCTGCTGTTGCAGGACATCAAGCTACACCATCCCACTCAGATGGCTGCCCAGTTTCTTTTTGAATGTTTGAGTGTGGGAGAGCCCACCACCTCTCTGGGCAGCTGGTTTCACTGTCGCATTGCTCTGACAGTGAGGAAGCTCTTCCTGATGTCTGGCCTGAATCTGGGTTGCCGCAACTTGAACTAATTATTCTGTGTCCTACACTCAGCAAGACGAGATCTTGACCTTCCTCTTTGTGACAACCTTTGAGGTACTTATAGAGGGGTATCATGCCCCTCCCCCCAGTCTTCTCTTCTCAAGGCTGAACATGCCTACTTCTCTCAGTCTCTCCTCATAGGGGTGTTTCCAAGCCATGGATAATTTTTGTTGCCCTTTCCCCCCCCCCCTTTGTTTGTCTTTTGCCACTGGTGTGTTGTTTGGACTGCTTATTGTTGTGTGCTCAGAATTCAACCACCCTATTTACTATCCTGTACTTTTTTGAGAATACCTAATAAATCTTTTACCCTGTTTTCACCAAAGCGTCAACTGTCTGCTTTGGGGGTGAAAGGGGGAGGCTCTCAAGGGGGTGCACCATGTTTTGGTCACACTGCACTGTTTCAACACCACGTTGCATGCAACATGCTGAACACAGTCTGAAACTTAGCCATGTTCACCTAAGCGTACAAGGGAGCTGCCGAGCAGCCCCACACAAGAAACCCTGCTGGAATCTTGGCCAGTCATCCCCAAGGGACTGAGAACATCTGAGAGCTGGGGAGCCTCGGTTGGTTTTACTTTCAGCAGGGGCAGCCAGTACCAGTTGGCACCAATGTACCATGCCTTGGGACCATACAGGAACACCTCAGTTACCATTCCACCGCCTTGAGCTGATTGCCAAGCTAGTACTGAGCCTTACTGTTGTTAGTTCAACAGTGTTGACATCCAGGAATGTGTTCCTTTTTTTAGGATTGTTTACTTTCCTTTTTTAGGATTCAGAAAAACAAACACACCAAAGAGTAGTGGCTGAAGATTTTATTAAGCAGGAACAAGTTAAAAGAGCAAGAAAGCAACACACTACAGGGTTATCATTGCAGCAAGCAAATACAGAGCAAAATTATACATATTATGTCCTTCCAGTCACTGGGAACCTCTCTAAGAATCTGTGAGGAACAAGCTTGAATGGGCTTTTATGCAACACCTCCTCCTTGCATCAAGGTTCTGACCTGGGAAGGTCTCAGGGCCACATGTGCTCATATTAAACCCTCCTGCATCCTTGCTTTGCTCCAGTGACTTTGGGGATGTTTATACACTCTTGTAAACCAAAAGGATGACTTTTGTAACAACTGGCTATCCCTGAGATCTCAGCAGAGGCTGTCTCAAGATAAACAATAGCTTCTCAAGCTGAACAGTCTCAAACATATAAGTGACTGACTGTAATAATGAGAGTCAGTCTCATTCAGAATTAGAAGAGAAAGCATTGCTTAGTCTAAAACAACAGGCCTAACTGGAAGTCTAGTGCACAGAAAGAAGCAATTTTTGCTGGCCTTTCTCATTTCCACCACAGGGTGTTCAAACCCTTACTGCAGAAATGGGGATATTGCTGTCCTTCAGAATGCAACTCCCATCAGCCCTAGCCAGTATAACCAAGAGTTTGGGATGATGGGATGTGTAGTCCAATGTCTTCTAGAGGGCCACACGTTCTCCATTTCTACTTTGCTGTGTGAAAGTCAGAAGGTGCTCGGGTTGCCACTGAACAACAGCAGGTCAGTGGGAGAAACAGGAGGTGGAGTGGTCATCAAAAGCAGGAGTGAGTTTGATTAATAATAGGCAGAAAATGATGAGGGACCTCTTTTTCACAAGTAGGACAAAGCATGTTGGGTTTTGACAGGTCAGGGGCTGGACTTTAGTGAATTGGGAGTCAATACAACATTTTAAGCCCCCTTGAGCTCAACTCAAAGTACCTGGTTTGTTCAATAGCATACCTGAAAGCAAACATGAAACAAAGAAACATAGAAACAGAGTGTGTCAGAAGGGGCCTTCTGGGCCATCTAGTCTGACCCCCAGCTCCAGCCAGCTCCACTCATGGCATGCCTACTATGTATATGTCCAGCCTATCCTTAAACACTCTCACTGATGGGGCCTCAACCACCTCCAGTAGAAGCACATTCCATACCCTAGGGATCCTGTCAGGAAGTATTTCCTGGCATCCACCCTAAATCTTGGTTCCCTGATCTTTGCTTCATGGACAGAAAAAAATATTTGATGGTTCGCAGCCCTAGGGGCCAGTTGTATCTTCCTGTTCTCCCAAACATGCAGAGCCTACTACATGTTAAAAGTTTTTCTTTTTGTTTTCATCTTCCGCTCTTTGTCTACCACATTTCTTCCTCTGGGACCTCCACAACTAGCTAGCCTTTTCCCTCCTCTGCATGAATAACCACTCTACAGATACCTTGGGAAGGTGTTTGCCATTTAACGCTGCACGCAGAAGCCCATAGCTTTGTTTCTAGCAAGAGAAAAGAGCACAGAACTGGGCACAGGAGTACCTTGGTCGCAAAGAAGGTAAATATTCTTCCTTCCCTGTGACACTTAAGTAGAATTGGTTAGAAAGCAGGGAGTCCACAACTTTAGGGAGTGCAAAAACCTTTCATCTTCTTTCTTACTGCAAAAAGTTCATGAGGAAACAAAACATGGAATGCCTGCCTGATGACTTCTGAAGGTAGCACAAGGAGCCCTTTGTCTGGAAGTATTCCTAGATTAAAAATTAGCCTCACTTTCTTCCAGTTCATCAAACTTAGATGCATTCATTGCGAGACAGAAATGAAACTTTGCTGAGGAACTAATTCCCTGTGGAGGAGACATTTACCTCACAATGAGAGAAATCTAAATTAGTAGACTGAATTATTGCATAAGAGATATTTCTTTCCATTCTATTAGAAGCTCAGGGGTTTTTTTGTTTGTTTGTTTGTTTTGGCTTAATGGATTAATAGTGGGAATGGTAGGAAGGGTGTGTAAATGATTTGCGGAGCTCTGCTTTTGAGATCAAAGCACTGGCTGGGAAATGTTTTGAAGCTACCAGCTCCATCCCACCACTAAAGGCTGGATCAGGAATCCCTGGAACACCGAACCTCCTAGATTCCTACTACTTCAGCAGCAACAATTTTCCAAGAGCAAGCACAAATTTAAACAAAAAGCGCAGGTCAGTCTTGAATGTTAACATGGTAAATGTTTACATACCTTCAGATGTACATTAGCATGCCTTCCCCTGAACTTCCAGTCTAAGACATTCATGAGCTTACCACTCTGTAGTGAAAGTGTCACATGTTCCTTTCTAGTGCATTATCTATGTTCTGATGAATCAAGTGACCTTAGTAGGTGGCAGAGCTAATAATTTGCTGGAATGGTTTCAAGAAAGTTTAGTTCTAGGCCTGTTGTGAACCACCCAGGCAGCTTTGGATATTGGGCACTATAGAAATGAAATATGAATGAACAGAGATGGTGGTGGTGGTGGTGGTGGTGGAAATGGAGCTTTTCAAACTCCATGTAAATTGGCTTGCTTACTTACTTTGTGAGCCTTGTGGTGGCTGATTACAGATTGGGGAAAGGAGTGGGGTATCTCCCTGAAGGATCCTAGGGTACATCACACTCAGCGAGTGACACAGGTGTTTGTGTGTGCCCGCACATGCTGGACAGTCCTGTACAGAGTGAATTGTTCATTTATGTTCAGAGTACGTTAAACCTCCTCAGATGTCCTGTTTACCTGCCTCTGTTCTTTTGTAGATGAATATTGAGCAGATCAGACACTGGGGGAACCAGAGTGCTCTGAATAAGTTCATCCTGCTGGGACACCATAAGCACCCTACCTTCCTCTTCATGGCTTTCCCGGCCATCTATCTGACTATTCTACTAGGCAATGGTCTGATTGTGGTGGTGACAACATGTGACCCTGCCCTTCAGACCCCCATGTACTTCTTCCTGAGAAGCTTATCAGGGCTAGAGCTGTGCTACACCTCCATCACCCTTCCCAAGATGATGGCCAGTCTGGCTACTGGGAACCGCTCTATTTCCCTAAAAGCCTGTGCCTCACACATGTTCTTCTTGCTTTTCCTGGGTGGGACCAAATGCTTCTTATTGGCAGCCATGGCCTACGATCGCTATCTTGCCATCTGCCTGCCTCTGCGCTATATGACTGCCATGAGCCATAGGGTGCAGGTGGGGCTGGTGACCGGCTCCTTTGCTATCAGCTTTCCAATGCAGCTGGTGCAGATTGGGCTCATCTTTTCCTTGCCATTCTGTGGCTCCAATGAGATGGACCACTTCTTCAGTGACATCCCACCAGTACCCAGTCTAGCATGTTCTGATCTCTACACTAATGAGCTGGTCATCTACACTGAAAATGTGCTGTTTGTCCTGGCTCCCTTTGTGCTCATCTTGACCTCGTCTGTATATATTACTAGGGCTATACTGCACATGTCATCAGCCGCAGGACGCCAGAAGGCCTTTTCCACTTGCTCATCTCATGTGATTGTGGTCAGTCTCTTCTACGGCTCTGGAATCTTTGCCTCCCTCCTCCCAAAGACTCCTGACTTCACGAAAGCTGACTAGCTACTTTCTCTCTTCTACACAATCATCATTCCGCTTTGTAACCCCCTTATCTACACCCTGAGGAACAAAGAGGTAAAAGCTGCCCTCAAGAGGCTCTTAAGTAGTAAGTGACCCTTTGACATGGGCATGGACTTGAGAGCATCAGCTAATACCTCCCATCCTTTCAATCTGTCCAAAATACCTCCCACACGCATGCTTAGTGTTTGTTTTGCAGAAACAGGCCTCAATAAGAGAGGGAAAATGGGACAGTAAGATCCAAGGCAGCAGCTTTCGTTGTTTGTTCATTTTGAGTGTATTCTTCTTCTGTGGTCTGGTGGGCAACATAAGTTTCTATTTCAAGCTACATTTCCTCATGGGTAATTTGCTGGGGGCCACACAATGGCAGTAAGTGGGGCAAAGCCAGCAACAGACAGGTTCAGAGCCAAGGGTTGTGATAGGCCACTCTTTCCCCCTCTGTTCCTGCTTCTTCTCAAATGCTGCTGCAATGCTGATCAATTTAAGTTCTATTCTCAGGGGCAGAACATGCAGGCTCCAGAGCTGAATAGGGTCAGGGCATAGATCTGTCCATGGGTCTCCACAGCATGCTTTGCCAGGCCACTGACAAGAGCAAGGCCCAAGCATCTGAGGGAGTCCACTGCAAACTGGGAACACGGACCCTTCCCCTTGCCCCCATCACAAATTCATACCACCTGTATAATTTCATAAGGAAAGAAAACTACCTATTTTTGTTCTGCACTTACATTTTCTACCATTCTGAAATCTGAAATTATCATGATCCACACAGGAGCTTTTCTACCAGCACCCAAATACCTGTCACTTATGGCAGGAACTATATCAGCCAGCCAGCCAAAAAGGGGAAAAAATCTGGCAATGCTTGCTGACTTGCTTTGGAAACCTTTTAATAAAACCACTGAATTGCCAGTTTGGAAATGAGTCCCCCAAGCAGGTCAGGTGCCAAGGGTCTTCAGAGGGGGCACCCGCACCCAGCCATGGTCCTCTGAGTAGCAGCCACTTGGAGTTCTCCCTCCTCCAAAATGCAACTTGCTTGTTCTGGCCACCGAGAAGAGGAAAAGCAGGATCCACCAGCAGATAAGCCAATACATGACAGCCCCAGTGAGAAAGTGGGCGAAGGGCAAAAGGATCTGGGAACAGAAGAGGGCCTTTGAGGGCCATTCTTGCCCAAAGACCCTCGGAAACCTGGAGCTGGCGCTCCTCGAGGGGCTGAGTAAAGTTCACGGGTGCGTTCCGCTTCCAAAGTGGGCTTTAGAAGCCCCGCTCCGGATCTTTACAGAATGTGTTAGCATATTTCTGAGCACTAGGGGGAGCAGCAATCCAATACAAATGAATAACTTCTCCCAGAGTACATTGCAGAATTTCTCACGCTGCCGGCAGCAGCTGAGCGGTGGAGGCGAGGACCGGTGCTGGGAAAACATCTCGTTTTTCGGGAACTCAGCTCCACTGCAGCAGATAATAGGAATTAAACAGCTCTTGGACCTCCGGCCAGGAAAATCCTTTTCAAGTAAGTGCCCCTAGAAATCTTTTTCATACTGCACTATTGTATTTTATTTAAAACATTTCTATGCCACCCCATTCGCCGAAGCCTCGGGGTGACTCACAACATAAATTAAAATATAATACATTAAAAATATAAAACAAATTAACAATATAAAATAAGTTGCCCTGGCCAGATAAAATAAGCAAATAATATTAACAATTAAAATGACGTTTAAATAAAAAGGTCTTGACCTGGCGCCGAAAAACAAATAACGATGGCGTCAGGGGGACCTCTTTGGGGAGCGCATTCCATAGATTGGGTGCCACCGCAGAGAAAGCCCTCCTCCGAGTACCCACCCTCCTAATTTCTTTCACGGAGGGTTCCTGGAGAAGGGCCTCTCCCACAGATCTCAAGGGGTGAGCGGGCGTATATGGATGTAAGTGCTCCTTCAGGTAACCAGGACCCAAGCCGTTTAGGGGTTTATAGGTCATCACCAACACCTTGAATTGGGCCCGGACTTCAATGGGAAGCCAGTGAAGCTGACGGAGGACTGGAGTCATGTGAACATAACGCCCCGTCCCCATCAGCAGCCTGGCAGCTCTATTTTGAACCAATTGAAGTATCCGGACCGTCTTCAAGGGTAGCCCCACATAGAGCGCGTTACAGAAGTCAGGACGGGAAGTCATCAGCACGTGTGTCACTGTCGCCAGGCAGTCATACTCCAGGTAGGGGCGCAGCTGATGGATCAGCCGAAGCTGAAGGAAAGCGCTCCTTGCCACTGCTGTCACCTGAGCTTCCAGTGAAAGCTCCGGGTCGAGGAGCACTCCCAGACTGTGGACCTTGTCCCTAAGAGGGAGTGCAACCCCATTCAGGACTAAGTTCAATTCACCCTCTCCGAAGCCCGATCCGCCAATCAACAGGACCTCCATCTTGTCTGTTAACACTGTGGTAACACTGTTAGTCTGTTGCAGCAAAAGCTATAATGACACCTGTGGCATCTTAAAGGCAAACAGATTTCTTACAGCATAAGCCAGGGGTGGCCAGACTAGCTCAACAAAAGAACCACATATAGTCAATGCCAGTAAATGTTTGAGACCTACAAGCAGGTGCTAGTAGGCAGCGATGGCAGTGGGGGGCAGTGAGCAGCAAGCAGTCCCCCCCCCCCGCCCCCCAGGTATGCACAACAGCGAGCAGTGACCCGCAAAATAGACTCAAAGAGCCGCATGCAGCTCCTGGGCCTTGGTTTGACCACCCTGGCCTAAGCCTTCATTTGCTGCAGTTTATCTCTTGTATGAAGTGTAGGAGTCTCCGTAGATACCTGATGACATAGACTACAACCCATAAAAGCTTCTGCTATCATAAACTGGTTAGTCTTCCAGATATGACAAAACTGTTCTTTTCATATGCAATTCTGGAATGTAATTCAGGTAACCTAAAGGGGGCTTAATGAAACTCCAGACAACAGAGAATATTTATTATTATTTATTATTATCTTCATCTCACCTTGTTTTCTTTTGCAAGAAACCCAAGTCAGCTTACATGGTCCTTTCCAGTTTTATCCTCACAACAACTCTGTGAGGTAAGTTAGGTTGAACCTCTCAGCCAGAACATCACTGGTAGCAGCTGAAATCTGATAAATAAAATGACACTAGGTAGACATGTCATGAGCAGAGTTGGCTGGAGACAGGGGTCAGACTAGATAGTCTGAGAGACCCCTTCTGATTTGCTCTGTTTCTGTGTTTCTATGAAAAATGGATGGGGAGGGAAGATGATATTTTGTGTGTTCCAAGCATAATAGAGCACCTGTCCTCACCTTTAGTTATTAAATCAGAAAGGCTGCTTATCTCCATTGGTCAGGCCATGTTGCACAGCCATCACTTCATGGCAGACCGTATTCCTGCAGTGACACGGCTGTTTGTCAGAAGCTCAGCCCTTTTCTTGGGAAGCCAAACACTTTCAGGAATACTTTTATTGACCTGAGGCACAGCTGCTATTCTGCAGTAAGATGGAAGTAAGATGCACGTTCCAACATGTCCCACCTTGTTTGGTTTTATTGTAAGTCCTACATTTTTGAGTAAGTGTGTGTGTTACAGTGACTGTGTATGAACTGCCAAGAAAGAGAAAATGTTTGATTCAAAAAAGAGCATGCTAATTTGCATCAGATTACTTGTGGCAATTTATATGAATAGATGCATTTTTAAATGACTATTTAATGGAAATAGGTAGTGCATCTCAGCTAGTGTAAGCAACTGAGACCAAGTGATCTGTGTGCATGTCTATTTAGTCTGTCCTGTTCAGATGGATGGGCAACTTCAAGGCTTTCCATACTTATGGCCCTTGCATAGGACAGTCTTTCATACAGAGGGATGTCCTTGCCTTCCTTCACTCTTTACGGATGTGCACGTGTATGTGTATAAGTGTGTGTGTGGGATGCATTAGAAATCTATTTGTGTTCACTTTTGATCAGGAATTACTCAGGTTGCATCTTCCGAACTGAACATTTCAAAGATGTGTACAATTGATGCATACATTTGGGAAAATGCACAGAAAAATATGCACAGCTTTTTTGTATGAAAGAGAAAAAAAACAAAGCTTGCAATCTGATAAAGAAGAAGCTTCAAGATATAATTTAAAGAACCTGAATGATTCACACACCTCTCTCAGTATTACCACAGCCTTCTTCAAATAAGCTTGAAGCTTATACAGTGGTACCTTGGCTCACAAACTTAATCCGTTCCACAACTCTCGTTGTGAACCAAATTGGTTGTGACCCAAGCCAAATTTCCCCATAAGATTCAATGTAAATAAGGTGTGTCTCAGGGAACAGGCATCTCATCAAAAAGCAAATCTTGGGCCTGGATGTAATGCTGGGTGTCTTGTAGGAGGCATCCTGGCAGTGGGCAAATGCATCACATGGGGTACTTAAAACTTATTTTAGGGGCTCAAATGCCTTTGTTTCCTTTTTCATGACTAGAGCAGCATGGAAAGAATGCAAGTTTTTTCATTTAATCTTCTTATAACATACACAGCCAACCCCCCTGCCCCAGGTCCACCAGACTTCCCAGGGCAGTGATAATTATTAAAATAAATCAAGAATGGGCTGTAATCCTGAACATACTTTCTGGGGAGTAAGTCCTACAGGATACCAAATGGGAATGAGTATTCTTATTCATAGGCACAGTCAATGTGGGGATTGATTGAGGGGAGAACGCTAAATTAAGTGCCCTCTGCAGCCTCCATTTTAATTATGCTTCCAGTTGATTATGGAACATCAGCACTTCAAGGGCCTGAGTGTGGAAAAGGCCCCAGAGAAAGAGCAGGCCCACGAGAACAGCAGCGCTGGTGTTCGAGAGACAGATGCCCACACTGGTGGCTGTGTGCTTTCCCATGTTGTTTTGGATCCAGTCCATATAGGAAGTGACTCGGGTGTAGACCCCAGGTCGGTTGGACTGAGAACAACCCAACCCAAAGCTCACCACTCCAGCCAGGAACCAGGTGCCATTCAGCTTGCAGGCCAGGGGTCCTCCAGAGTCACCCTAGATGGAGAAAAGAAGGCAATGGGGACCACTTCTCTCTTGAGAAATGACTGTTAAAAACGTCTGACATTTAAACTGACAGTGTGAATGTGATCCACTGACATTTCTTCCTGGAATGTGTTCTACTTAGGAGATGGCCCATCCTTGAAAAGGAAAAATGATATTTTACACACACACACACACACACACACACACACACAGAGAGAGAGAGAGAGAGAGAGAGAGAGAGAGAGCGAGCGAGAGAGAGAGAGACTGTAGTCCTGTGGTACTTACATCTTTAGGGTTTCCATATTGCTTTAGAGCCAGGGATCCAAAAGCTCCAGTCTTAAGATCCCCAGAAGCCCCTTGTGGCTTATGCAGATTTCCCTTCCTTGCTCCCATCCTTTGAATGAGGCTTTTAACAAGGCTCAATTGGTGGCAAAGGGGGCTTGTAAAAGCCTAATTACAGTGAGGGACAGTTACAGGAGTTGGAGAGACTTACTGTGACTACTCTTGGTATGACCAGGGCCACTGCCTTCTGTGTTATTCACCACTCTTCTTGATTTTACTTGGGATGCTGAGAAAATGTCTCCCTTTTTCCACACTATGTGTCTCAGAACAAAAACCCAAATGAGGTCTTTCAAAAGCCTCATTTTAGTGACCAGAGAGACTCAAGACCTCCCTCCCTCTCTCTCTCTCTCTCTCTCTTCACATGCAGACCACCTTAGTGAAGTGAAACCTCTCTTGAATAACTGACAGTCTTAGACTTAAGATACCAGAAACCCAACGTCTCATACTAAAAACAGGTTCTAGTTTAGCCCTGTCATGACTAGTCCTGCAATCAGGCAGAGAGAAGTGGCTGCCTCCAGTGACAAACATGGAGACTGGACAAGGGTGAGATGGTGGGAGACAGCATTACGTATACAGTGTGTCCTGCCCCATGGCCTGCAAACTAGTCTGCTGCCCTCGGGTGAGGCAGGAGGCAGTATCTCCTCTCCAGTGTTGAAGTAAAAGTCACCATCTTGTAGGGTTCGATGCATGGAAGAGAGAGGCACCATGTTGCCCTTTGCTCTGGCGGCAACATGTCTTAAAACTTACTGTCAGCCTCTCGCTCTTGCCTTCCTGGAACACAACCACACACCTAATATCCCCTGGAATGATCCCCAATGGTTACCTGGCAGGAGTCCTTCTTTCCTTCTGCGTACCCAGCACAGATCATGTCATCGTAGATCAGCCTGTACCCCTCTGGCACCGTCTCAGTGTCACTGCTGCTGTCCGAGTCATTGTGGTACATTTTGTCACACTCATCTACATCTAGGATTGGTATCTCCAGCTCCTGCAGGGTCCGAGTAGAGAAGGGGGCTGGTGCAAGAAGAGGGTGGCACTGAAATTGAGCAGACTTGATAGCAGTGAATGTGGGTTGTTTATTGCCCCTGGCCCTTCGACAGTCTCAAAACAAGCCATGTCACTGACATTCGATTGTCCAGTTCAAAATAAACTGGACAATCTGCTTGTAACTCTTGAATATATTCTGAATTGAGCATCCCTCAAGAGCAACAAAGTCCTGCACTGCCTTAAAAGTTAGGAAATTTGTTATGTGATAAACACTACCTTAATAAATCCGCTAGTCTGTGAAATGCCACAAGATTATTATCATTTTTCCTGCAACATGAGCAACCACCTCAAAATTATTTCCTAAAGAAGTTCTTAAAATGAGGATATGCCCATTCAAGAGCTTTCCAGGCAAGCCTCCTTGTGCCTGCGGTTCCTTGCAGGTGCAACTTGACTCTCTCTCTCCAGGGGCCAGTTGGAGAGTCTAGCTATTCTAGTCCAGACTTCTCCAGTCTGGTGCCTTTCATTTCCCAGCAGGTTCTGCTAGAATGACCAGAAGCAAGGAAAGATGAGAGATGTTGTCAAGAACATCTGAAGAATACCCATTTGGGGAAGACCGCCCTAGCTCTACCTTCTTATTTATAATTATTAATCCATTTTCCTATTTCAGATCAGATATGATTCCAAACAAAGCTTGTGCCCCCTCCTCTGTCCTGCAGCTCCAGTAACACTTTCCCACAAAGCATCATCACCATGCATAAACCTTCTGCAGACCAGGCCTCAGGGGATCTCCGTATGTCCCAAAAGCCTTTCCTGCAGTTGTCTTAAATGGCTTGCTTTGATCTATGACCCACTTGTTTGTCTTTCTGTCAGTCCAGGGTATTCACAAAGATCTCCTCCAGCACCATGTTTCGAACACAACAATTTCCTACCTGTCAGCTTTCTTTTGAAGATCCTTTTTGAATAGGTTAAAAAGTATCGGTCCTAATACAGAACCCTGTGGGACTACACTCGTTATGTGCTTCCATTAGGAGAAATTGTCTGAGATAAATGGGCATTTAAAGACAGTTAAACTAAGTATTGAGCAAGAACTTACAAAATTTTGAGCTATGCTTTTTGCAGGCAGGAGACTTGCTTGCTTTTAAACAGGCATGCTTACTTGTGAATAGTATTTGGGGTGCTATTTGAAAGTGCTGCAGATTCAGTCCTGCTCACCTCTGAACAGACACACAGAAGTTTTGATCTGCTTATGTCAGAGTAGGCATAAAATAGTAATAATCACATCCAGCCCTACACACTTGGCCCTGCCTAGAGGTGGAATATGGCCCCAGAAACATTCTTATTTTGCAGTTTGGCTGCCAGGTTGGAAACATGTCACCACCCCTACCATAAATACATACTTGATCTAACAAGACTCCAACTTCATTCTTACCTTCTGGGTAGAGGTTGCCCCAGCCAGTAACCCAGCATGACATCCCCACAGGGAAGGGCTCAGGGTCTGAAGTACTGGGCAGACATATGGGCAGGATGGTCCGGGAGAAATTTACTGGCTCCACCAGCCGCACCAGTGCAATATCAGCACTGAGCCCGTCTCCAGCATAATACGGGTGCACTATTATCTGTCCAATGGCAGATGAAACCATGGTGTGTGCAGGTTTGGGGAGCTCATACTCCCCCAGATGTACTCGATATACAGACGGATTCAGTGGCCTGTGGAGCCAAAGAGACATCAGCGTCTTCTACACTGGAAAGCCTGGGTTCAGATTTGAAGTTCACTAGGAAACCTTTAGAAAGACACTATCACCTGGCTTAATCTAACCTAGGGCTGTGGTTGGGCTTGGGTGGCCTGGTAGTGGCTAAACATTTCATACACTAAGGAACATCAGATCACAGCCAAGCTGATTCAGGTTTGCATTGGTGTTGATGGCATTTAGAAATTCAGATTAAAAGTAATAAATTTGGTGACTAAGTTGTACATTTTCAGTTAAATACATACAGTATTGATAGAATACTTTTTCTGAGTGCTGAAATAAAACTTAGTTATATAACCGAATTTAGGCTGCAATCCTATATCCACTGACCAGGGAGTAAGCCCCAGTAAACATTATTTATTCTGAGTAATCATATAGCATTGCACTTTAGGTACATTCTCCCAGCAATGCCCACATCAGTCTTGTATGTTAAGCACATCTTATTATTCCCAGGGAGAAAATTCTAAGGCTAAGAGATTAGCCACCCATCAGGTTCACAGTGAAACTGCTATTTGAAGCATGAATGACTCATAGCACATGTTTGAATCATGATACTTCATCACATAAATTATAAACAATGCTGATTATGTTGTCAGCATGGCGGTTCCTATTAGAGCAGTAAATTACATTTGTATCTCCCATTGGAATGTTGATAGTTTCTATGACATGAACAGATACACTTGTAAAGGTAAAGGTTTCCACATGACATTAAAGTCCAGTCATGTCTGAGTCTTGCAGGAGGTGCTCATCTCCACTTTCTAGCTGAGAAAGCCAGGGTTTGTCTGCAGAGAGTTTCTGTGGTCATGTAGCCAGCATGACAAAAAACCAAAGTGCACGGAACGCTGTTACCTTCCCACCAAAGTGGTACCTTTTTATCTACTTGCATTTGTATGCTTTCGAACTGCAAGGTTGGCAGGAGCTGGGACAGAGTACGGGAGCTCACCCCATCTGCAGATTCAAACTGTCGACCTTTCGATCAACCAGCCCAGCAGCTCACCAGTTTAACTCACTGTGCCACCGCATCTCAGAGACACTTATAATCAGCCCTAACTCCAATTGTTCCTTCACTGGAGAAACATTTTTCAGGTTCACAAATAATTTCATCTTGGATTCCTCACAAAAGGCAAACAAGTGGGGTATAAATGCAATGTGATAATAATAAAATCTAATAGCACTTTACAAATTTTGCATTGCAAGCAACATGGCACTTATCTACTACAGAATTCTGTTGAATTGCCCATGCTGCTATCTCTCCGTCTTTGCCTACTAAGATGTGCATGGACATAACTATAAGCCCCATACGTAATTCTAAGCCAGGAAGGGCAAGGGTCTAACCTCAGTTCTTCAAAGATTCTGTTCTCATCCTTGGGCTGTACAAATTGAAATGTATCTATTGTAACTGAACAAACAGGAGCCAGAGTTACATCCCCCAGTCCTGTACTGCTTCTTGGATCCAAGATGGCATGGGCATTATCACTTTGATCACAGTGTTGGGCACATGGGTAATAGCAGGCTATCAAACAATTACCTCTTCTTGTTATCCAGACTATAAAAGACTTCTGAATAACCCCCCCTAAAAAAAAACTTCACTGGGCAACTCTGAGAAGACACAACAGTGGCAGAAAAGTGTTCTACCTGTGGTGCCTTCATTGCTACTCAGTAGGCTTTCAAATGAGGTCTAGTCTATGTTTTTACAACACTTGTTTGAGGGGTTTTGCCTTCTATTACTGTTGTTTATGTGCCACTTGTTTCATTGCCTGCAATTCCCTAGATAACCATGGAGCTCATTTGGCTACATTCCATGGGAGAAGGTGCTCTGGGGTAACCATATTAACCTCCCAGCCCATTGTGCCGTTCCAGAGATCAGCCAGGGCTTCAACAGAATTGCCTGCCAAGGTGACAGGAAAATCCACAAGCACTGTCAGAAGGCTATCTGGATCCATCAGATCTCCTTAAGAGATATCCTGCTCCTGCAGAGGGTTCAAGTCCTAGGAAGTGTAAGTCCACCCAGGTAGTGGTCTGTCCATGACAATGGAACTCCAAAAAAAGCTCCTCCACCTTCAAATGACCATCACCCCATCTGGCATAGAAAACCAGTCCAAAGTGTTCCCTGCTGAATGAGTGGGATCTGGTACTCATTGGACAGAGCCATGGAGGACATGAATTCTTTAGCCACTCCTGACAAAGTAGCCTCAGCATGTGGCTGAAGTCTCCCAAAACCAACCCTGAGTGCTCAGAAAGTTTGATGTTTGAGCAGCAAGATAAGCGATACACCAAAAGAATCTCTTTTCTACCTAAGGCCACACATCCTTAACATGATGTCTTCTACTCACCCATCAAAGCAGTGAGCAGCTGTCACCACCCATTGAGATGAGACAAGGCTTCCACCACACACATGTAGTCGGTTTTCCCGTATGCTGACCTGCCATGGCCACTCCCCTTCATCAGCCTTATGCCCTCCCACGATCCGAAGTGAGTGCACTTTGGGTCGGCCACAGACTGCAGAGGAACGGAAGAGAAAGAAGTTGTGGGCAAAAGTGAAAACAGGCTGATGAACATCAGCACGCAAGCATTTTCATAACACATGTAAAACACAAAGAAGTAAGTTTGCACAAGGCCCACACATTGTGAAATATGAGGTACAGACTCAGAATTGTTCTTGTTTTAGATGTTTCTGTGGGATTGTAAAAGGGAAGAAAATAACAATTTACCACAGAGTTCTTGTTCCACTGACAGATCACTCGGAATGTTAAAAATGCAGTCTGTTTTAAAATGTAGTTAGAATAACAAATATAAAATTTAGATTTGGCTATTTTCATTTTAAACTAGGTTTTTTAAAAACTTGTTTGCAAAGTAAAATCAATTATAATGATATACATCAGAACAACAGGGATAATTAGAATGAGAGAATAAATAGAATGGAAGGATAAAGAGTGGGGAGGGGAGAAGGTGGGTGGTGTGGGGGGGGAAGCTAGGCTGACTTAGGATAAGTGAACATATATGGGTGAATTAAAACTAGACAGGAAGTAGAGAAAGAACACATACAGTTGTGAACTGATGGATGACATAATTAATAAATGACCGTACTTTTTATTATTATGTATACAGGGAACCACTTTCTGATCATTTTATTCTGGATCAAGTAGGGACTAGATAGGTATGTGGACAGGTGTTTTTAGTAGCTGCATATATGTGGTATTATCTTCCACTGGGGTCCCACCAAAACCAGAATCTAGACATTTTCCAGGAAAAAAAAGCTGTTCTTTATCTGTTGGACCAAGTTGTTTATGGTTTTCAATACCTTTTTCAAATGTTACCTGCCATGTGTCTGAAGGGCAATATGGGTCATAACTGGAAATAATTGAAGCAAAGCTAATTATACATCACTTACCTGTTGTGGGCAGAAAGAGAATGACAAAGATGTACAAGATGTAAGCAGATGGGTGTGGATCAAACAACAATGGAGTGGTTAGATTGTTACACAAAAATGTTTAGAGAAATAAATCAGGGAGTTCTTTGAAGAAAGGTAGGTATTTATGAAGAAAGAAAAGATATGACGATACTCAGGGGACTTTTGTCTAGAAGTATTTTGGCCTCTCAGGCATACCTATCCAAAGCTTGATCACATCCATATACAACCCATATGATTTCTCTCCTGTGACAAATGTGGAAGTGGTGGAGGGTTGTGGACAAACAGGAAGATCTGTTTCGTTTGGGTATGAGTTTGCCCCCCACAGCACACTTCCCCTCTCTGGTGTATATACTTCATGTTTCCAGCTTTGCTCTACAATGGAGCACATACAAATGTGTCCTTCATCAACTGGCAAACCAGTGTTTATCTTATTTATCTAAGTCTTTTCAGGCTGCTCCAAAAAAACAAAACCCAGAAATGCTTCCAAAGCAGCTTACAAATGATCAGTAAAATAAAACCGTTCCTGCCTACAAAATTGCAACCCAAAAAGATAGGGCAAAAAAATGAAAGGAACACCACGGGGCAGGGGGGGGGGGGGGGGAATGGTAAGACTGATGAAAAAAAAAATCTTGCTTTGCTGCCTGTTTCCTGAGATAGGGTAATAAAAATTGAGCAGCCCTGATGTTCTTTCATCCTGCCGCTGTCTTCCTTGTTCCTGCTCTTGCCCCACAGGACAGTTTTTGTCAGATAGCCCTGAGGGGCAAATGGGGGGGGGTGTTGTGCCAGCTGTTTCCCCCGCTATTTGCTCTTTAAAAGAGTAAGAGAATCTGAGCAATGGGGAGGGTCACCCAGACACATATGGGTATCCCTGCAATCCAGTGTGTGTGTTGTGTGTGTCTTTGGGTGTGGGTGTTTGGGTATCCACATGGGTATCCACCATTCATTCATGTGCACTGTGCACCACAACAGAGCAGGTCCCTGCTCCAAACTTACAAACTTACACTCGATATGGGGAGTTAACACAGGAACAGCAGCAACTGGAAGCAGGGTAAATAGAGATGGAATGAGCGTTTGTTTCGGATGCATGTAATTATTCTTAGATACAGACCAAGTAACTTTTCTATCTCCATATAACTGCAAGGCTCTTCTCATTCCATCATTATGCTGGATTGTCTCTTGCAAGATATGTTTTCTTACCTTTCTGAGTAGTATTTTCAGCATCTGTAAATGGAAAAAATATGGGAGTCAGGATGGAACAGGAGAGGGAGTTGAGAAAGAAGACAGAAGTTGACCACTACAGCTTTGCACTGCTCCTGACTCACAAAGTATGATCTACAATGAAGGCAGGGGATCTTCAAAAATGTAGTCAGTGGAGAAAGAAGGCTCAGCCCAGGGCATGGCTTGCCAAGCAAGAGCTACAGAGGAATGCTAAAAGGAAACTTCTCATCCAGCACTGCAATGCGATCTGCCTCTGCGGAGTGATAAGAGCAATCCCAACCTCCATAAAGTTGCATTGCAGAAACGAGGACAGGGAAGTAACTCAAGACTCCCAGGGGGCCTGACAGAGACAAAAACTCTTTTAGTCAAGCTGAGAGTTAGCTATGAAGCTCATTGCACAATACAAGAAAATTCCTAAATGTTGGGTATTTAATTGCCCGAAGGGAAGTAATCCCACCTTCCATTCTCTGGAATCTTCTGCACAGATGTGCAGACATACATAATTAGGATTGCTCTCAGCATTTGGGGGCATTTACTAATGGCATGGCAGGCAAAAATTAAACAAGTGAGTTTTTCCTATCATGGCATTCCCTAAACAAGAATAGTTACACCTGCTGAATATTTGCCAGCTGTGTAAAGAGACACAGCCATGGCTGAGGAATAAAGCAGTACTTAGATCTAAGAATTTGCTTTTAAAGCTGCAATTGGTATGCTGTTTATAGTAGATTTGTCATAACCAGGGATCCTTTAGAGGAACTATAGTTCATAAATTTTAGAATTAAATAATAAATAAAAGCTAATATTTAGATATCCTAGCTCCAAGATCTCGCTGTGCTAACCTACTAGAACAGCATATAGGCATCCTGGCACCCTCCCAGTGTTTTGGACTGCTATCATACCAACCCCAGCCAGCATGGCCAATGGCCAGGGAGTATGGGAGTTGTAATTTACAAGAAAAGGAGAACAGTAAGCTGTTTACCCTTGCAATAGACTAATTTTCTAGCCAGCCCCTGTCTTCCCAGAGTCCTGGTTCTGGTCATTTCATGCTTTAAAAGAGAAGCCCACTCTGAGGTTCCCCAGTCCCTATGACCTTTGCTGTGAAATTGCCCTTGGAAAGAGCTGGTCAGAGAATCCTTGCTCCCATATCCTTCTGCCCATTGTTACTTCCTTTCAGAGAGAACCCAAGAGTCCTGCACCTTTCCATTTCAATGCAGGATGTGGTGGCCCATATAGGACAGAGAACAAGCTTGTCTTCTATCTCTTGGAGAAGAGACCAAGGATTGTTCCTCTATCCTTAGCTCGCTCGCTCTCTCTCGCTCTCTCTCGCTCTCTCTCATTCTCTCATACACGTACTCACGCACACACACAGCCACTGACCTCTCAACAAAAGGAGTACAAGAACAATCTGGAAGCAGCAGAACTGTCGCATGGTCCAGGATGAGCAGTCTTTGGATCAGCCCCTTCTGATGCCAACCCAGGAAAGAGGGAAAACACTGGGACTGGGATGCTGAGGCCAGGCACCTTTTGACAGGATTGATGCACTGTAAAAGGAGTAGCTTCTTGGCGTGGTTATGTACCAAGGAGGCTGCCAATAAGCTAAACCTGAGCTCTTGAATATTGTCCTCCACACTCCACCCACATTTAGCTGGTATGGCCAGCTCAGCTGCCTACTCACCAGGAAGCCAAGCTGTCTTAACCATACCTAACTTCAGTGCCGTCACTACATGGGAAGATGAAGCTAGTGGCTTTAGGGCAATATGAAAAGTAGGGTGTGTGTGGGAGAGAGGGGGAGAGGGAGAGAGAGAGAGGTCAGGGATTCTCTAAATCAGAGAGGTCAGAGAGAGAGAGGTCAGGGATTCTCTAAATAGCACCAGGGAACAGAAAAGGTTCAGCTATTGTAGCTGTTGGGGGGCTTTGCTGAAATTCCCTATTCAAGAACTGCGCTGGTTACTAGTTCCTTTCTTGGAAACAGGAAACCAAAGGAGCCTATTCCACCAGCCTGCCATTTTCTTATGCTCAGTTAGATTTTTGTGTTTTGTAAGCTGTCCAGAGGCTTTTAGTATTGGGACAGCATATAAAAACTTTAAATGAATTTTAAGGAATTGTACTACAGCACTTCAAGTCTTTTTAGAGCCAAAATACACATTTTGTTCATTACATCACACGTAGCTGAAGCTTGTCTTGTGTTGTATTTTACAATACAGTGCCCAATCTGCATGGTGCCTAATCAGATTGGGCACTGTGCATTCTGCGAGTGGATGAGTAAACCTGAGAAGCACCTCATTTTCTTTACTGTCCTTGAATCAAGTTGGAGGATTGTTTTGATATGCAGCAGCCGTGGGAAAATGCTACACAGTCCAAATCCTGACTGGGAGCAGCTGAACTTGTGCACATGAAGCCTTCACCAAGTTAAGAGAGGCTCAGCCTATTTCCATTTTTGAAGCCCTCTCATTATGTTAAAGAAATAAATGTCAAAACAGGGTTAAAATGTTATGTGGTTAATGTTAACATTTGACCACTTAACATACTATAAAAATGATACAATGCAGTAATTCCTGATAAATGTTCCTTTTTTATTTACCAGCTGGTTATCTAACTTTTTCTGTGCAAATTCACGAAACATCATGGGGAGGAAATAGTTTTCTTACCATGTCACACTTTATGTGGAGCATACCAAGACCATTCCAATGATTTTGTCCAATAGTTGTATGATGATAATTCCCCATGCGCTTCACTGAAATTTTAGGTCCTCCATGAATGTGAGATCTGAGCCTTTCTGACCCCCTTAAAAGTAATCCCTTTATGGATATAATTTGTAGGGACACTGACAGAACAGATCTGAGAGATGTATCCTAGCCAAAATATTGAAAAGAGAAAGGAGAATCACATACTAGGCCTGAAATTTGCTTGGGTGTTATAATGGGAACAGGTACTCCTTAACCTCCTGTGGTTATGTGATGTTGAGAAAAAGGCATTCTTGGCCATGCATGGTGATAGCTTCTCCTTTATGGAATGTAGTGTTTTGATTAAGTATGCATACCATAAAGTATGCATAGTCATAAAGTCTCCAGCTCAGATCTCACCTCGATCACAAACTCACTAGGTGGCCTTTGGCAAGATTTATTTGTTCAGCCTCAACGCCACACAAATGCAGACACCAGAGGTGGGTGGTATTACTGTCAACCTGCCATATAGGGTTGTTTTAAGAAGGAATACGATAATATTGTTGAATAGTTTGGAGTGCACTAAAACATACTCTAAAAGCCAAGCATTATGCTCTCGAACAGTGTGGGCACATTTCAATAGATCCCAGACTCATGGGATCTATTCCCAGGTCCTGGTTGATGTCAGCATCCATGCTGAAGGCATACTGTCTGGGCTGGCTTAGGACTTCATGAAATCCAAGACAACCATGGGGCTGTCCAATATGTTATTGGCCTAACACACGTAACAAGACACACTCTGTGTTTGTTTTTTTCAGTTGGATGGGGGTTAGTGATTTGAAGGTGAGTGACTTTGAATCGGTCCCCTTGTCATAGTCAGATCACTGCCTGGTGAGATTTAGATTAATGGTAACTTTTCCCCTCTGCAGGGGTGGGGGACCCATTAAGGTGGTCCAGCCCTGAAGGCTGATAGATCCAGATGGTTAACAGAGGGCTCTGGGGGATTTTCAAGCTGATATGGCTGGTGATCCTGTCGAATCTCTGGAATACAGAGGATCTGGGTGGCTGACACAATCACTCTTCTGTGGTTTACCCTGGAGCTGAGAGTGTCCAACTAATCAGGAGCCCGGTTTTGGCATAAAAACAGCTTTCGTCACCCTGTATGATGACCTATGCTGGGAGAGAGACAGGGTGAATGTGACGTTTCGGTTCTCCTGGACCTCTCAGCAGCTTGTGATGCCATCAACCATGTATTCTTCAGGGGTGACTGTCTGAGTTGGGTGTGAGAAGCACTGTATTGCAGTGACTCCACTTCTACCTGGATGATAGGCTCTGGAAAATGGTGTCTGGGGAATATTGTTCTGCCCCTTGGTTCCTCAGGTCAGGCTTGTCCCCCCTGTTATTTGACATCTACATGAAACCACTGAATGAGGTTGTCCGAGTTTTGTCATCAATATTCCAATGACATGCAGCTCTATCTGTCCTTTTCTTCATCAGCAGGTGAGGCTGTGGAAGTGATGAACTAGTGCCTGGCTGTGCCAATGGACTGGATGAGGGCTAACAAACTGAAGGTCAGTCCAGACAAGACTGAGATGCTATTAGTGAGTGGTTTTTCTGAACATATGAAGGGAATTCAGCCTGTTCTAGATGGGGTAGCACTGCTGGTTGTTAGAAAGGTCTTAAGATTGTCTTCTAGTTATTACAATTTGTACAATCTGTTTTAAATTTTGTTTGATTTTTGTATGGTAAACTTTTCACGATGTTTTATTATGCTTTAATACAGTGCATTTCCTATTGTATGTTTAATGTGTTTTTATGAACCACCCAGAGAGCTTTGTCTGTTGGACTGGATAGAAAATGTTTAAAAATTCTGTGTGGGGGGGTGTCATTTTTTTTGTTTTTTACTAGAACCAAATGGAGTATCATGCAAAAGAACAGTTCAGATAGGCAAACACAAATGAGAAATAAGGGACAAAGTGCCTCAGAACATCATCTCAGCCCAAGAATTTGTTTTTCCAGTATTAGGACTGAGGTCACAGTCCTTTTGCTTTCTCCTTGCTTTTCCCTCTGCCCTCAATAATGGAAAAAAAATCCTTTCTGTGTAACATATGTTAATGGCTTTCCATGCTCACTCAAAGCTTAAAACTGTCAGGATGTGAGTGTTTGTTGTTGTCACAATTCTTAAACAATTGGAAATCAGAAATCCTTGCCAGCCTTTGACAAATTACACCAGATGTCTAATTTCCGTCTGCCTCTTGCTTATTCACAGAACCCAGGCTCAGTTCTGCCTCTTCCCAGGGCCAGCAAACCACACTTAATGTGTATCAGGATCAAATTGCTTAAAAATTGTAGCTCCTCCAGTTTCTCCCATAATGGAAACTCAGCTTCCATCCTGTCTTCACTGAGTTTCTGATCCACCCTCCAGCCCACAATCATCTCCCATGGGACCAAGCATTAGCCCTGACACTGGAAAAGCAGGTTTTCCTGGAATCCTGCAAGTAAACAGCACTGCGCCTAAGCTATTAGCATCCATTATCCCAGCATGCCCTGCAAGGTTGGTGAGTCACACCAGCAAAATTCCAGCACCAGTCAGTTTGTGCACCATCATTTACAGTTTGTATCTCTGAACATGCACATTTCTCCAGATACATGAGTCATACACATGTTCTGTCTGGTGCAGTTACAGAAGTAGCTTTGCCAAGGCTGATATTTAGGGAGGCCCCACACACCCAGGTCCCTCCCTGAGGGTCCCTGTCTGAGGAACAACAATGTTTCAGGTCATGTGTGTTTATATCAAAGACTAACCATTATGTCCACCAGCTCACTGGGCCTACACAGTGACAAATTCCCAATAGGTGGCCACATTCATATTATATCAAGAAAAAAATGGGCCAGTGTGTATGTGTGTGCATGTGTTTGGACAGGGTTTCTCTTTTTGTTTTTAGTTATCTAATCAGTATTTCATGTATATCCACCTTTTTCCTCTTGCAAGGAACCCAAGACACCTTCTATATTCATTCTTCTCCTTTCCATTTGATCATCACAACAAGCCTGTAAGCCTGTCACAAATAGGTTGAGTTACAACAGCATGGTGTGTAAGCAGGTTGTTTTGGGCAACTTTAAACTATGACCTCATGGTTTAAGGATGCTCTATTTAGCTCCATTTTAATCTTTTCTCAAAATTGGTAGTAGCTTTCTAATCTCTCAGAGTCTCTGTCACTTCTGAGTATTCTGAAGTCCGGGCCCAATTCAAGGTGTTGGTTATCACCTATAAAGCCCTTAATGGCTTGGGACCTAGCTATCTAAAGGAGCGCTTGCGTCCATATATGCCCTCCCGCCCCGAGATCGGTGAACGAGGCCTTTCTCGTGAAAGATATTAGGAGGGTGAGGACCCGGAGGAGGCCAAGATACTCCGAATTTTTAGTGATATTCTATCTTATGTTTATTTATTCTTTTTGAAAGCCACCCTGAGGCTTCGGTGATGGGTGCGGCATAAAAATGTTATAAATAAATAAATATCATCTCTATTCATGCGCAATGTTTTATGTATTTCTATATGTCAGTCTATACTTTTCATGTCTTATTCATCTAACATGCCATAGTGTTGCTTGGCCTAACTGAAGCTTAGGCTTTAAGCAAAGACAATTTTGTTGTTTTTGTTGTTAGTCGCGTAGTTGTGTCCAGCCCATCGTGACCCCATGGACAACGTTCCTCCAGGCCTTCCTGTCCTCCACCATCCTCCGGAGTCCACTCAAGCTCACACCAACTGCTTCAGTGATTCCATCTAACCACCTCATTCTCTGCCGGCCCCTTCTTCTTTTGCCATCAATTGTTCCCAGCATTAGGCTCTTCTCCAGGGAGTCCTTCCTTCTCATTAGGTGGCCAAAGTATTTGAGTTTCATCTTCAGGATCTGACCTTCTAAAAAGCAGTCATCATTTCTGCCCATTCTAAACACATTTCCAACCATCAAAATCATAATAGGATGCCTTGGTTTTGTAACCCTAACCCTGCCCTCATGCACACCCCTAACCCTAATATAGGGCTAAAGTTCCATTGAAAAGAGAGAGGTTTTTTAAAAGCCTTCCTTTAGTAGCTGTTTCTGCACAGCTCATTTCTGCCCATTCTAAACACGTTCCAACCATCAAAACCATGCCAGGACACCTCATTTTTCTAACCCCAACCCAGTCATGGTGAACCTTTTAGAGACCTAGTGCCGTAACTGCAACCCAAAACCCACTGATTTATCGCACGTGCCAACACTGCAATAGAACCTGAAATCTAAAGTTTTAGTTTAGAAAAAGCAACTCACAGCCAGTTCAAGCAAAAAATATATATCCTTGGCAGTGCAATGACTGGCCATGCGAAAGCTTGGATGAGTCGCAACTAATGCGTCGCAGCTCATGATGCTATCACCTGGCGCCACTACTCCTTTCCAAGCATGTGCATGGCCCCTATGTGTGCTGTTATCAGATGCTTGGCTGCTGGGGTGATGCTGGGGCGACTTGGCTTGTGTGCTGACAGAGAGGGCCCTAGTGTAGTCTGGACCTCAAATAATTAATCCCGCTCTTCCTGCAACTTGGACATTCAAGAAACACTATCTTCCCCTTTGCCCCAGCTAATTTTAAATTTTCTCCCAAAGGAAAGGAGTTCACAGTTTGTGGAACCCAGGTGATCTGCTGCTCCATTTGGGGGGGGGGGTCCTGACATGGTTGACAGTGCTGAGATGAGGCTTCTTTGCTTCACTTGGGTCATAAGGTGCTCTCTGCTTCAATGCATCCTGTCAGTGCCAGATCAGCCTATTTTTGATAAGGGGAAAAGTCTGTACTGCTGCTCGCATGTTGAAACAACTTTTCTGAAGTCTTGTTCTGATTAGCAAAACCTGTGGTTTGCATGATAGGCAGACATCCTGAAACAATCATTTCAAGAGTCACAGTTCAGACCACAGGGCTGGGACTCAGGTGAACTGCATTCTGGTCCACATTCAGCCATAGAGCTAGCTGGGTGATTTTGAGACAGTCACAGACTCTCAAACCAGCCTATCGCACAGAGTTGTTGCTGTGGGAATAAAACTGAAAGCAGGAGGAAGAGAATGATGTAAGCTGCTTTGAATGCTTTAATGAAAAGGGATTAATCTAATTAATAAATAAAGATGTGAAATGTTGAGGAAAAACTTACATGAAACACAAAAAGTATTCTCTTTTTAAAAATATATTAACTAAATTCTTTTGACTGTTTCACTATTAGGCTTCACTCTGAACCACAATGTGTGTTTTCTCGGCCATCTTTCTGGTACCTTTCCAAAGGGCAGGGTCTGTGAATTCTTCTGAATTTTATTCTTCCAGTGGCTGATCTTTAACAGTCCCCGCTGTTAAGTTTCTCCAACTGCATTTCTGTTAAGGTAGCGGGCCCTGGGAATGAAATGCATGGCATACTTTTCCCCATAACTTCAATAAATGGGCAAGGGCTCAGCAAATCGCTTCCATTTTGCAGCTCCTGATATTCTTGAATCTGCAAAACTACTGTTGTCTACAACCTTCTCAGCTTCTGGGAAGCAGCTGGTTTCCTTTAGCCAGTCTTTTGCAGAAGTGGTCCTTTCTTTATCATGCTTTGCCTTCTCCCCCCATTCTATATTTTGTACCTGCCATTCTCCTTCTTGGAATATTGTGGTGCCCCCTTGCCTGAGCAGAGGATCCTTGCCCTTTCCTCTGGACCCAGGCCTGCTTCCCACCACTGAAATGTGACCTGGGGAGATTCTCCAAAACAGAACGTGGGCTTCCGGCCTCAGGAATTCCTGCTCCCACAAAACCACCCACAAAGAGACTTTGCTTTGCACAGTCCCAGATTCCACCCCTGGCATCCTTGGCCAGGACTGGGAAAAACTCTTGCCCACGTCTCTGGATTGTCCCTGCTGGTCAATCGCATGGGCAACCTGCACTGGACTCCCCCTTGGTCTAACAGGGTAGGTGGCAGCCGCTTCCTCGCTGCCTATCAAGTTGGTCTGCAGTTAGCGTTAGAATTTACCGAGGGGGCTAACGCAAAAGCAGCGCTCCTCTCGTCGAGACAGCCCCAATGGTGCGAGCAGCCGCGGAATTCGCTGGCACTCTCGCGGAGAAAAGGGGAATTGCATCCGAGCCTTCAGCAATACGCAACTGCTTTCGGTTTCACGTAGCTGCAAAGAAGGCTTCGAAGCAAACGGGTGGCTCTTTTCCAGGTACGTAGGGAAACGCAGCTATCTCTCGCCTTTTCCTTCTGATTATGAATTCCACCTCCGCAGTCCGGGAATCCTAGATTAAGTAGGATTCTCGGTCTCCTTCCGTTCTGTATATCCTCAAAGTTGGCGGAGGGGTGGAGTGGAGATTCTGCCTGAAGCTGGGAGACCTGAATTGGCTCGATCTGGCGCTGACTCTACTCTTTGTTTTCATGAAAGTAAGTTCTCCCTCTCAGATTAATAACCGCCCCCCCCCCCCATTATTTGGACAGCAACTCCCAAAACTCCCTGTCAGTAGAGCCCATGGTCTGGGATTTAAGGGAGGTGTGACAAAGCATCCGCCAAACAGGTCGCCAGCCTCTGAGAAAGGTTTTGCTGATCCTGCCTGCCCAGTCTCCAGAGCTTTCAGGTCTGCGCCCTGCAGAACCAGGGCTGGATTTCTGTGGCGTGAGCTCGGTGGAGAAAAGGGAGTGATGAGCTCTTGCAGTCAGTTCTCTCTTTTTAATGGCCTCCAGCAGCAAGAAAGTGAGTCAGCTTGCTCTTAGGAAGCAAAGCCAGCTTCTGCCAGCCTTCTGTAGAGGCTCAGCTCATGCTCCCCCCACGCCCTGCTTGTTTGTGCACTGGAGGTTACTGTGAATTTTCTGTAGAAAAATAGAACACTGGAATAGCCTTCGCCAAGGGGCACAGCAGCACCTACACGTACCCTATTGTCACGCCCTGCTGTGAACATTGATTTTTCAAGGTCTCAGACATCATGTATTGCTTGTTCTCTAGGCAACGGCTTCTCCAGCAGTCATCAACAAACATGGCAGCCTGTGGCCTTCTCACACCTTCTCAGGAACCAGGTAAATAGGCTGCTGAAATTTATTCATAGATTGTGTGCCAAGTGGCAAGCCTTGGTCGCATGCAACAGTGGTAAATCATGGGTCAATTAACCCACAATTTGCCAAGCTACTTTCTTTCAACATGCAACTGCAATTGGCAGAATCAAAGGTTGGTCCCCAAAGTTTGAAGTCAGATTTTACCAGTTAATCATGAGTTAACCCAACATTAACCCGCAATCAATTATTAAATTAATTTGGATTATGAATACTATTGTCTGGATCAGATGTCACAGAACTGTCCACAACTGGAAGTGGCGCGTTCATGATCTGTCACTACTATGTACAAACAAGGTCACTGTATGCTAGTTGAAATGGCCATTATAAAAACGGTTGTTGGGTGCATGCAAGGTGGCATTGGGTGCGCGTGGCAGCGACTCGCACACTCAGAAATCTCCCAGCAAGTTCAAAACCATCTCCAAGTGAGCAAGCCACCGGCAAGCACGCATGCGTGGGGGAGGCAGGCGGTGGCGACTTGCTAGCTTGAAGATGGTTTTGTACTCACTGGGAGATCTCCCAGCGAGTCCAAAACCATCTCCAAGTGAGCAAGCCACCGCCTCCCGTGTGCGGTGAGCGCACACGCGCAGGCAGCAAACAACAGCGCGGGCCGGATGAAAGGGCATGATGAGCTGGATCCGTCCTGCGGGCGGTAGTTTGAGGACCCATGTCCTAAAGCAACTGGAGTTCCTAGGAGTGGGCTGAGGAGCCAGAGAACCTACAGCCATGTTCTCTAGGGTCTGGGATCCCTGCTCTGAACCAAAGCAGGGCTTGAACTTCTGCCTCACTACTTCCTTGCCCCAGTGCCACTGCAAAGCATCTCCGTGGATGTGATGGTGCAGGGTTTCGTGGCTGATGTGGTATCTAAGCTTCAGTACAAGAATGAGGAGAAGAACCCAGTGGAGGTGATCTTTGTCTTCCCTGTGGACGATGAGGCTGCAGTGTATGCCTTTGAGGGCTTGATTGGTGGCACACGCATAGAAGCCCAGATCCAAGAAAAAAAGCAGGTACTATGGGAGCCCTACTTTTGGGGACAGGGTGGCTTAGTTTCTCAAGGACACCAGAGGCTTTCCTGGTAAGACTGGATTGCCACATAAAGATCTTATGTCAAGAAACCTACATGCTGTTTATGTTCCCCCTGTGGGTAGAGAGCCAGTAGGAAGCCTCATTTAGTTCCCCATGCCCTGGGCCCTGCTCTGAGCTTGGATGTTCATGGCTTATTTATGTATAGATTCTCCTGTAACTTGGCTGGTTAGAATTGTACGTGCCATTAAATTCATTTCTTTGACTGAATAGAATGGATACAGGAAAGTCTTCCTTTCTTAGCCATCTTATTCTTTCTGTACCCATATCTTAGAAATGGAAGCACTTGCAATAATTTACACAAGCAAATTTAAAAGCATGAAAGCCAGTCAATTAAGTCCTGAGTGCTTCAACAGCCTAGATATGTCTGGACTTGAGACCACACTGCCTCTGCCCTTGTTTTTTTCCCTTTCTTCTGTCGACCACCCGATTATAGGCTGAGCAGGAATATGATGATGCCCTGAGTGAAGGACGTCAGGCTTTCCTACTTGAAAAAGAAGAGACCAGTGACATTTTCCGCTGCTCCCTGGGTAACCTTCCCCCTGATGGGGAGGCCACACTGAAGCTGTGCTATGTTCAGGCATTAGCTCCAGAACCTGATGGGGCTGTCCGCTTCGTCCTTCCTGCAGTCCTGAACCCACGCTATGTGCCTCAAGGTAAGACACATTTCCCCCACAAACACAAGATTCAGGTCCTAAGAAAAGCATCTCACTAAGGTGACTTGCTACCTCCAGGCCAGAGTGTTCTACCTTAAATTTGTATTCTGCTGCATATGTAGAACAGCCTGAGTCTCAGTTTGACCCCAAACCCTCCACTAGGTTCCTCCACCTAGCACATCCTCATTTTCCCTCCCTCTGAGGCTAGAACTGTGCATTGTGGAGGCTAGAACTGTGCATTGTATAGCATGGGCATGCATTCTTCTTGTGCTCCAGAGATACTTCCTGCTGTCTTTCAGCTCTCTGACCTTGCATGCTCCTCTCTCCACAGGCTCAAAAGAGGGCACAGTCACCAAGAGCATGCCACGAGTACCCAGGGGGAAGCTTCCCTACACACTGGCCCTCAGTGCCAAGCTGGAATCTCCCTATCGCATCAACCGTGTGGAGTCGAAATGCAACCTTGAGCCCCTACACTTCACTGCAGAGGATCACAGCACAGCCCTGGTAGGATTACTTATGATTTGGGATTGGTGGCAGCTTGTGTAAAGAAGCCCACATACATCCCACCCTGACTCAGTGCCATTGCTGGTTAGACTTCTGATCCAATTTCAGTAGGTGGTTGTTCATGTCATTTGATGTGATTTATTTTATTTTATTTTAATTTTGCAAATGCCCAGTTTATATGGCAGGCATGCGCAGTAGGGAGACTTCATCCCTTTAGCTGTGCCACAATTCCAATCATAACTTCCTCATTCTCCAAGTCTGTTCTTTGCAATGCAATGCAATGCAAAGAACAGATCTTCTTTTTAGTCTAGGATTCATCCAACAGGCAGATCAGCTTATTTATTTATTTATTTATTTATTTATTTATTTATTTATTTATTTATAATTTTTGTATGCCGTCCCATCACTTAAAGCCTCAGGACGGCTTACTTAAAATTGTCAAACAGTTCTTTGCTAACTGCATCCATCTGTTATCAGAACCTGCAAGTTATTCCATAACATGCCATATGGGGATTAAAATCTGCAAAATTATTCATGACTTTGCAGCTAAAACCAACTCTGAGTGGCATCTTTTAGCGGCTTTTTATTGTCCACACAGATTTCCCTGGCCAAAGGGCACCAGTTTGACCAAGATGTAGAACTGCTGATTTACTATGAGGATGTCCATAAGCCCAGTGCCCTCTTAGAAGCTGGGAAGCCTGGAGCTGCTTCAGGTGAGCACAGCCTAAGTGGCTTTGGTGAGGGGGCCTGGGGCTGAAATAAACGGTTGCCGGGAGGCGAGGTGGTCCTACCCTGGCTAAAACAATTGGATCCCCTTTTCCCCTTCAAACACAGGCTCACTGATGGGAGATCCAGCTCTTCTGCTCACCTTGTACCCTAGCTTTCAAGCCACAAAGCCAGAATGCAGTGCTACCAAGGAGTTCATTTTCTTGCTGGATCGCTCTGGCAGCATGAGCGTTGTCAATTACCGCAGCCATTCTCTGACACGCATTGAGAGTGCCAAGGTAACCTGTGGCTAGAAGATCTTATGGGGTGTTTGTAGGTTCCTACATGTATGGGTTGGGTACACTGGAGCATCAGTAGAGAATCTGGTTATTCCCATGGCATCTTTATCATGCCCCTCCTCCAGGATGCTCAGGGTGAGGTATTCGCCCATTTGGTCATCCCAACACCCCTTGAACTTGATTGTCTTAGAGACAGTGCCTGGACCAAGGTCCCAGCATGAGGCTTATGGCTGAGGGAGGCTATGAACCCAAGCCTTGCAGTTTTGCTGCTAAAAGATACCAGCGCAAAACAAGGAGGAGGAAAGATGGGAGTTGGGTGGATCCATGGGAGGATCAGGGTCATATACTGTTGAGACCAGTCTGATAGGGTGGGTGGGATATCCAAGGTGATGCCTGCTTTTCTCTCTCCCCATCTCAGGAGACCCTGATCCTCCTGCTGAAGAGTCTCCCTCTGGGATGTTATTTCAATATCTATGGCTTTGGATCTACCTATGACTCATTCTACCCGTGAGTGTCCAAATGTTGAACAGCATAAGGCATTTTTTCCTTTCATTGGTGTTTCCTTGTGTGGTTAAAAGGTAAAGGTTTCCCCATGAGATTAAAGTCCAGTCATGTCTGACTCTTGGGGGCAGTGCTTATCTCCGTTTCCTTGCTGAGGGAACCAGCGTTTGTCCGCAGACAGTTCCGTAGTCGTGTGGCCGGCATGACTAAACACAGAGGTGTACAGAACGCTGTTACCTTCCCACTGAAGTGGTACCTATTCACCTACTTGCATTTGCATGCTTTCGAACTGCAAGGTTGGCAGGAGCTGGGACAAAGCACGGGAGCTCACCCCATCTGCAGATTTGAACTGTCGACCTCAACCATTCCAGCAGCTCAGCAGTTTAAACCACACTGAGTAAATATAAAAAGTGCTGAAATGCTTAACCGAGTAGCTGAGAAGACAGAAAAGAAACACCTTCCTCTCTTCCAGGCCTGCTTCCTCTACTTCCCTAGACAAGTCCACAATTTGTAATCTTATGCAACTAGCCTTTGTTATAAAAGTGTTGCAGACCAGCTAATCTGTGTTTAGGCTATAAAAGCAGATGTTTTGTAGGCAAGAACAGCAAAAGTCAGGGTATTTCAATATACTGTGGAGCTAGTTCTTTAAGCTAACGCTGTGGAAAAGAAGTGAGTGGCAATGGTTGGAAGGTGCTCTGGAGAGTAGCAGGCTAACTGAGCCCTGCCCTCAAGCCAGCTCCCTCTCCTGGGGAGCCTCCCTGGCAGCCAGTCGCTTACAGCACAGGGTTCCTGCCCCTTCCTCCCCAGTCAGTAACATCCTCTCACTCCTGCTTCTTGTCCGAGTTAGAACCCCTTCCCATGCCTCCTTGAGATGGCTCTGGGGGAGTGCTTGGCCCAGTCTCTACATCTTTTCTTGTCCACTGGGCAGCCAATATTGCCTTTTTCTCTCCTTAACAGTGCCCAGGACTTTCATATGAGGAGGGTGGTGACTTGTAGGCAAGTATTGACTGGAATTTGTAGTGGAGAGTAGGTGGTAAGACAGTAGTAAGTGGATTTGGGAAGGTTGAAAAATAGCTTGGTTGGGGATTTGACTGAACTTGGGGAGAACAGGTCTTTGTCCAGCCTGAAGTGCCTGATCCTGCCTATTCTCAGAAGCTAAGCAGCGTCAGACCTGGTTAGTATTGGGATAAGAGACCTGAGTCCTGCATTGAGCAGGGGGTTGGACCCGATGACCTTCTAGGCCCCTTCCATGATTCTATGATTCTCTGGTCCCTGCTGCAGGCAGAGTGTGAAATATACACAGCAGACTATGTCAGAGTCTCTCCAGAGTGTGAAGAAGCTCAAGGCTGATTTGGGGGGCACAGAAATTCTTACTCCACTGAAGGCCATTTACAGCCAGCCATGCCAAGAAGGACATCTTCGTCAGGTACTGGGAGATGGGTTGGCAGCCAGTTCACTTCTGTGGGAAATCTACCTTTTTAGCAAAATCAAACAACTTTTAGAATGGTTATAAATGAGTGATAACACACTTCAAAAGCCACTTGAATGGCATAGAGAGGTTGAAAGAAATTACTCCTTGCCTGGTCTCCAGTTTTTCCTCCATGCTACTGAGAAAAGGCCAGATACTGAAGATGAAATTCAAATAATTTGGCCACCTAATGAGAAGGAAAGACTTACTGGAGAAGACCCTAATGCTGGGAACAATTGACAGCAAAAGAAGGGGACAGCAGAGGATGAGGTGGCTAGATGGAGTCACTGAAGCGGTCGGTGTGAGCTTAAGTGGACTCCGGGGGATGGTGGAGGACAGGAAGGCCTGGAGGAATGTTGTCCATGGGGTCGCGATGGGTCGGACACGACTTCGTGACTAGCAACAACAGCAACACCACCGAGGAAAATCAAAGTCAAACACCTGTGGCTAGGATTGCCTTTGATCTCTCTCAATCTCTCTCTCTCCCCCCCCCCCCTTCCACCCCCAGCTGTTTGTGTTCACTGATGGTGAAGTAAGTAATACAAAAGAGGTGATTGATGAAGTCAAACGTCATAGCAACTCCCACAGGTAAGAAAAGACAAAGGGAAATTTGTCCTTCTCAGCATTCATCACACTGTGCGTTGGTTGCCACATTTTGGGACTCTCTCTCCTCCCAACCCCCCCACAGGTGCTTCTCCTTTGGCATTGGAGATGGGGCCTCCACGGCTCTCATCAAAGGCATTGCTCGAGCAGCTGGGGGCAGTTATGAATTCATCACAGACCAGGAGCGCATCCAGGTCAAGGTGAGGAGGTCTCTGAGACTCTGCCTTTCTCTGTCTCTGAGACTGTGCTGCTGGTCTCCACTAGGCTCCGCCAAACTCTGGGACACTTGCTAGGTTCTTCTCTCCCTCTCAAAATGCAGTCTGACTTTGGGGACCTAGTTTGTCCTAGCCAAAAATGCACACTGGCTTCATCTGAAAATCATGCCTGCAACCTGAACAAATGAGGAACAGTCCCTCTGGATTTTTCCTCAGAATGTGGAGTTGAAGCATTGAAATATGTCATGGCTGGTTGTCCAGCTGTACCTTCTCCCTTCCTCGTGCTGTTAAACTGAGTAGTACACAATGGCTCTCCATCTAGGTAGTTTTTGTGGTGGAGAACTTTTTAACAGATTTGCTGCAAATCGTTAAATCTGCCTTTAGGAAGAGCATCCATGGATGATTTTTTAGCTCCATCCTTTCTTCTCTTGTTACCTCCCTAGATAAAGTGGTACACCTTGCATGGCTAGTAACTTCCAATGGTTTTACTTTTAAGAGTCAAGGAAGGGGAGTGGAATGGGTAACATTTTAACAAATCTGGAAAGCAACCTACTAGCATGTTTTTTGCGGACAGAGACTACTCGGGTTCCTTAACATTCATCCTTCCTATGTAACATGAATGTTGATTTCAGACCCTCATACCAAGTGACTATCAAAACATGTAGAAATAATGGGGGGAAAGAGAAGATAGCTTATTCAGCCCACACATGCTTTTCTGCCTTCCTCTATGGCCTTGCCCACACAGTTGTATGAACAATACTGCATGCAAAAAAATGAGAGACTTGGATTTTCTGATTTTTAAGTGAAGATTGAATTTTCCTTCTTGCACAAAGCCCACATCCCATCCCCTCTGCTGTGAGATTGTCTTCTTTCTACAGGCATTGCAGTCTTTGAAGAAGGCCCTGCAACCAGCAGTGACACAGATCTCTCTGAACTGGGACTTGCCTTCTGGCCTTGAGGGTGTTCTCGTGGGGTCAGGTCCTCAGGTCATCTTTGAGGGGCAGCGCTGCCTCATCTATGCCAATATCCGAGGGCAGCATCAGGTAAGTAACCCCCACCCAGGTTCAAATGTTAGGAAGCCTCGTCTCCCATTCTAGATTCCAAACTGTCTCAAGCTTTCCTGTTTCTACCTTTCCCTTTGTGGGTGGGGGCAGGTTATCATCCCAGAATGCATTTCTCCTCCAACAGCTATTGCCTTCCCCCTGCTGTGACATTTTCTCTACTTCTGCAGTCTTCAGATTCCCCAGAAGGCACCGTGATTCTTCAGTATAACTTCCAGGACCAGACATTCACTGAGACAATGAAGTTCCCACTCCATGCTGAGAAGAGAGACAGGTAGATTTGTGTCTTCTTTTTGTCCTCCTGCTTTTAGCAAAGATCGTGGAATTTCTTTAACTACAAAGAGAACTGTAGATTCCTCACCTCATAATAGATTTCTCATAATATCCTGCAACAAGGTGGAAATTCTAGTAGCCTTGCTTTGCTTTGTTGCTTTCCAACAAACCAGGTTTCATAAAATCATGAATGCAACCTGGTTGGGATGATCCTGGCTTATAAAGTGAGTGAGTAGCTAGGATCACAATGCAGAAACCCTTCCCGGTTTTGCTTAGCACTGGTATCTGAAGTGGGGAGCAGAGCAAGAGGGAATGCCTGCCTGCCCCAGTGCACAACTCAGTCATGATAAGTCAAGATTCTTACAGAAATGCTACCACTGTGTTGCACTGTTAGCGGTGCTTCTGAAACCATGGAGCCTAGACTAACATCTCTGCTCAGCCATGCCATCTGTATGGTGAACCATTTCCCAGCCTAGCCTCCTTCACAAGCTGTGCAATTTGCTCTGGCTTCATCTGGAGGAAGAGCAGTATATAAATAAGTAAGTTCTCAGTTGGTAGGTGGTAATACCTCAGCATCTGTCTAGCTTTATCTGGAATACTATCCAGATAGTTCTTTTGAATTCCAGCACACTGTATTAGCTAGATGTTGAAGCTGAGAAGGCCTTGGCTTTAGAAACTCTGCAGCAAACTCTTGCAAGGTGGTTTAAAAGCCCAGAAGCTGGGCATAGAAGCTTCCCCCAGGAAATGCATCTGGATCTGGACAACACTAAACCACCTGAACATACAATGCACTAAGTGAATGCGGAAAAGGCCTTTGTTCCCATGGTCCAGCCATGACTAGTGGCTTCCTTTTCACAGCAAAGCAGTCTAAATGTGAGCTGTAATAGGGAGCAAAAGCTCTGGGCTTTCTGTAGTTAAGGTGTTAATTCTAGTGGAGCAAAGGCTATGGACTTCTCATAGAAAAATGATTAAAAGTCACCACATTTCTCAAACCTACTTTCTCTAACCAGGCTCCCTGTTCACCGGCTCGCAGCTCAGTTCCTTCTGCAGCAACTAGAGACAGGTACAGAGGAGGAAGTGGAGAAACAACGCCTGGCATTGGAGACCAGCCTGAGCTCTGGGGTGATGTGCTCACAGACAGCCTACATTGGAGTGAACATGGAGCTGAATAAACCAGTTCAAGGACCCCTCCTCCACCGAGTTGTGCCACTTCCACGTGAGTCGGAGGACATGATCCAGGGGTCGCCTGGATTATTGAACTGAAGGCCATTTTATCTCCTGAGATTCATCCAAACTGTGACTTTCCCCCTCTGTAGGGGAGGGAACCCATTAAGAGGGGCTGCTCCCAGGGGCAAATGGATCCAGGTGATTTCCAGAGTGCGCTGGGGAACTTACCAGCTCATATGTCTGGTGGTCCTGCCAAATCCCTGGATGATCTCTGGAATACAGATGTGACCCGGGTGGTGCACACAATCACTTCTGAGTGCCCACTCTGCAGTAGAGCTCATATAACCCTGTGATATACCCCAGAGCTAAAAGTGATAACAGAATTCAGGAGATAGCTTGAGTACAAGATGGAGGAGAACCAGTGGATACAATCGGGTCCTGGTATGTGCTTATGGATGGATATATTTGGAGACATTAAGAGCAGCCAAGAAGCAATATCAGACTGCCTCCATTCAGACTTTTCTTTGCCATTCAGCTGCACTCTTTAGGCTTGTCCAGGGCCTGCTACATCTGAGGCCCACTGCAATATATTTGCTAGGCAGTTCCTGGATAAAATCTCCAATGTTACCACAGTGGAATCACGTGACACATCCAGAGTTCAGTCTGGTCAAGACGAGTTCCAGTTAGTGCAGCTCAAGACTGTTGATGAGGTGCTTGGACAGGTTCATGCAACCACATCCATACTGGATCCTTGCCATTCTTGGCTAATAAAATCCTGCAGGAAGCGGACTGCCAGCAGGGTCTGGAAGGTGATTAATGCTTCCTTACAAGAAGGAAGGATCCCATGTAACCTGAAATAGGGAATGGTGAGATCATTCCTAAAGAAACACTCTCTGGATCCAGAGAACTCCACAATCTTAGGCCAGTGGCAAGCATCCCCTTCCTGGGCAAGGATCTTGAGCAGGTGGTAGCCAACCAGCTCCAGGCATTCTTGAATGAGGCGGATTATCTGGACCCATTTCAGTTGGAGTTCAGGCCTGGTTTTGGCACAGAAATAGCTTTGGTCACCCTGTATGATGACCTATGCTGGGAGTGAGCTGATAAAGGCCCTGTTGGGGTTTCAGGAAGAGCGGTTGAGACCCACAGTGACCCACTGGGATTTATTTGCTCAGCATTTTCAGGCACTCCAACTGTTTACTCTTATCAAAATGTTGATTATTCCTTTTGTATGGAGGTAGATGGGTGGCAGTAAGTACCTGTAGCCTTCTAGATGTTTTTGGATGCCAGTTCCCATCAGGGCCCACTATCATGGGCATTGATTAGAGCTGGCGAGTGCTATAGGAAAACACAATGGCAAGCTGCATATCCCCAACTTCTGCTACAGTACCATCTTCTTTTTGCACTTGATTGTCTGAGTTTCAGTTGTTCCAGCCCCAGGATGCTCAAAGCAGTGCTTCCTATGATGTCTGTCCTTCACCTCATCTTAGCTTTTATATCTTAAATGCTGAAGATGATTGTCTGGCTCCAAAATTAGTTCAGGGCACTTGGAAAAAGAGGATGGCCCTAATTAATTTGATTAATTAATTAATTAATTAATTCCCTTCTTGAACCGGGTCTTCCCCCAAGCAGTTAACTCTTTTTACCAGAGGCTTTTTCTTACCTGGGAGCTCCTTGCCTTGTCGGGACTAGCTCTCTCCGTCTCATTTTCCTCTCAGCCACCCTTTCCTCAAGCCCTGCTCACGGCTGGTGGAGGTTTCCGGCCAAATTTGCCTCAGCCCAAATGCTGAGGGAGAGCTCTCTAATGCCGGTTGTCCACCTGTCCGAAAAGAGGTTTTTTGAGGGAGAAAGCTTAAGAATTTTGAGGCAAAATTCACCTTTAGTCTGCTCGGTGCCCCTTTATTTGTCTTTATTTGTTTTTTGGCGTCAGGCCAAGACCTTTTTATTTAAACAATATCTTAATTGTTAATTGGTTGTTTTTATTTATTGGTTTTAAAGTTGGCTGAGATACTCCGAATTTTTAATGATATTCTATCTTATGTTTATTTATTCTTTTTGTAAGCCGCCCTGAGGCTTCGGCGATGGGTGCGGCATAAAAATGTTATAATAAATAAATAAGTTTGAAGGAGACAGCTGGGAAAGCATTCCCAGAGGATCATTTTCTGGATCCTACTGACATGCTTAATGATCCATTACAATTCTCTTGCATTGGTGGAAGTCCACAAGGGGGTTTCAGAGCCACAGGTGTAGGTCAGAACAGAAAGGTAAGCAGGTTGCCAGGCTGCAGGCATTTGCTGGCATGTCTGAGATAGAAACAACTGTGCTGCCACTATTTTGCCAGTATTTTCCTGCTACTCTGGTCACATGAAGGAAGAAAGTGCACTATCTACTTATGATTCACCCATTAATGCATATTGTTGTAACTGCAGGAGAAATTGGGGAAATTTGAAAGGTCATGTCTGAGTTTGCATTCATAGCACAAGCCCAGGGCACAGGATAGTGCTGCAAAATTGCAGGGAAGTGGTTGGAATTGAGGCTGCTCTTTCAGGTTGCTCTATAGAAAGGCCTGGTAATACACATGCATGTTCATAGCTGTTTGTGGTACAGGGGTAGAGGTAAAATGTGAGCCTATTCACACCTGAGCATTTCTGTAGGCGTGCACTGAAAATCAGCCTGAAAAGGAGATCAACAATTCCCTGACTCCAAAATCCAAGGCATTGCTTGGAAGCAGGGGACAGGGATGTGGGAGGTTGTATGATGAAGACTTCTTAAAGAAAAGGTTGCTAGCTACACTTTTAAATGCACCCATGCCAGTAAGAGTTACACTAGTGCAGGACTGGAACACATATGCCTGAGGGCTGCAAGGAAACCATAATTCTGAACAAGAGTCATAAATATAGTTGGGGGAAATGGCTTCTGTACTGGGTAGGGAAGTGTTCTATGCCATCCAAGTGGTGTCTTCGACCACATTGAAGGCCTGTGTTCTCTGTGCCATTTTTTCTAGAACTCTTTTGAATTTTCCAATCCCACCTTTTCTGAAAGGGAGACAGATATAAGTTGCTTAGTCCTAGACACTCCTGCTCAGAGGAGCAATGGCCGGATACAATTCTACTGCTTCTCCATCTTAGTCTTCTTCCTGTTTTTTCTGAATGGGTTTTATTTCTTGGCTGACCATTTATGATTAGCTTCTGTTTTATTTTCATAATTTCATAATGAAAAGCAGATGAATACAAATAAATTATGCAGGTAACAATTCTGACCAGAAAACCATTGTCTTTGTTTTCTCCAGGTATAGGTGCAGCAAGAAAGTCATATAAGGCTACAGCTTTCCAAGGAGGAGGTGTACGGAAGTTTGTACTGGGTGCTGCAAGTTCCTGTAAGTGCAAAGAATCAGACACCATGAAGGGATCACAACTTCTTTTTGTGGGCTTAGTGGAAGATTAGATGCATTTGTGTCCAAAGTTGGAATGATTGTCAGTCTGACCCAGGCTGATAAACCAGAAGTGCAGAAAGAGGCTGGATGTATTAGGATACATTTTTGCTCCAAATATAAGTAACAATACAGTGTTTTAAATACATTCCTCAGCAAGTCAGGTCATTAGAAAATAAGCAACGAAGAGAAGAGACAAAGAAATTGGGAATGCTGCGGTCACACTTTTCTTCTTGTTTGCACAGTTTCATCTTCCTCACCTTTCAAGATGAACCGCATCAAAGGTAATACTTGAGAAGGATGTTGGTGGACATAAGGGGACAAGGGAAATGCTTGTGCAACTAAGGGTCAAGCTGGATGGAACAGTTTGATCCATTTCTTCAGGCTACAGAGAAACCCAGAGCCAAACTTTCTGGTGGAAACTTTAAGTGACAGACCTGGATGGATCTGTTGATTTTTACCTTGGAACAATTGGTGGATGATGACCAAAGCTTTTCAGATTTATATGTCAAATATACTTTGCCTGCTATGGCTGAATGTCAATATTTGTAGTTGCTACACTTAGTAGAATCTAGGTTTGGCCTGCTGCTTTTACAACTTCAGAGTAGCCTTCACTACTAGAAGTACCCAGTCACAGATAATGTGTGTGAATGAGTGCTCAAACACTACCTGAGTGGCTGGAACAGGAAATAGACACTGCACCACAACCCATGGCTGTGAATAGTCATTGCATGTAGCTCCATCATTGCAAACTTCTCTGCAAATACAGCACAGATCAGCCATGAGAAGCAAACCATTCTAGTTTCTGAGTGTTTGTATTTTAAAAATGAATGTTCACTGAACAGAGATGACTGCAGTGAAACTAAATCCCTTCTTTTCTTGTAGCTACAGCTGTGAATCCATTTGAAGAAGAGCTATACTTAGGTAACAAGTCAAAAGGGTTTTTTGGAGATCCTGGATAGTTATGGAACCAATGGACAAGTTGACTGGAGCAATTGAATCTGGATGGGATCTGTCTTACAGTCATGTGAAGGGTGAAGGGGATGTGCATTGCATACTCCACAATTAATATGAATTATGGGGTGGCAGAGAATATGTGCAAATAGATGCTCACATGAAGACTGAGGACCTGGAGTGGGCCACTTGACCAGCCCCAGATGTTGGAATGGTCCTGCACTGGCAGTCGAGACATGAGAGCTGATGCTTGCGTGGCGCTTCCCTTCCAAACCACATTGCCAACACAGCGTAGACCCATTGCTGGGTCTTCATGTGAGCAGCCCTTAAGACAATTAATGTCCTGTTTTGACAGACAATTTGCAAGGTGAATGATGGGGATCAGAGATCCCAGAAACGAAAACTGTTGTCTCGTTTGTCAGAAAGAATAATTAAGGATGCAGCTGTCCAGCCACCAAAAGGGAAGAAGGGCCACCCATGCTTTCATGAGTAGCTTCTGCCATTGAATTCTTCATGGTACTCTATGTGGCTGGCTTTGCCTGTAGCAAGCTTCCCCCTTCTTACCCACCTGATGTTTCAGACCTTTATTATCCTCAACCACCATGGCTATGATTAGGTCTTCTGTAAATTCTAGCACTGGCGGAACATCAGGATTGGAGAAGGCTCTCAGGCCTTTCAGGGCACCCACAAGGCTTATGAAAGCAGGGCCCAAACCGGCACTCCGTATTTCCAAGCAATAGGTCTGAAACCTTTAACAGTAGCCAAGATGAATGTTCCACACCTCATGAAAAGACTAATTTGACCTAGATTTCACACATTGAAGTACGATACATCATAAGTTTATTTACATAAGAGAAAACAGGGAAAGGATCAACATGTGAATGAAAAAAAGCAATATTTGGAAACAATGTTTCCAATACTGATGCAACACCAATACTATATGTAGTGGTGATATGGGTCTTCAGTAGAACATGACATTCTGAGGAAAGCTTTGCCAGACCCAAAGAAAAGTAAATGGGGACCAAAGTATCTCCCCCATTTCTGTTTTGTTCCCAACTTTGAGCTAAAATTCTAGCAACCAATCACCAAATAGCTGGAAATCAACTCGGGGACAGAGTGCTTTATTCCAACCATGAGGTCAAATTTGTTCAATATACTTAGTGCAAGTTTAACTATTGCCTTGAAGGAAAAGGACTCCATGAGATTATACACACAGGTACCCAAACAAAGTCTTGCAGACACAGTCTTCAGGTTGCTAAAACAGAGAAGGAAGAATCAATTTCTGTGCAGGGGCTGTTAAACCAAAGACCTAATGGCCATATCCAGCCCATCTCGGATGCTCCTTTGCCCTTTGCAGCCGCCCTCTGCCCATGGTTCCACCTGTTCCTCTAACTACCAGTCATTTGGACTTTTCCTGACTTTTGTGAATTATTGTTTCTATTCAGAGGTTCAAATGCCTCTCCAAAGACTTGGCTACTGGGAGTATGAGCTTTAAACAAAATGGTTGAATTTTATTTTATTTATTTATTTATTTATTTATTTAGAATATTTATATGCCATCCTTTCACAAAGGCCTCAGGACGGCTTACATAAATAAATAAATAGAACATAATATAGAACATAATACAAATGAATTTCAGATCCACCCTGGCTGCAGATTAAAAACATATATAACCAATATTAAAAGTCATTAAAATATTGTTGGAATAAAAAGGTCTTAACCTGGCACCAAAAAACAAATAACAACGGCACCAGGCGGATCTCTCTGGGGAGCACATTCCATAGGCGGGGCGCCACCACAGAGAAAGCCCTCCTCCAGGTACTTTGCCTCCTAATATCTTTCATGGAGGGTTCCCAGAGGAGGGCCTCTGCTGCCCATCTCAGGGGGTGGGAGGGCAAATACGGAAGAAGGCGTATTTTAGCCCAACAATATTTGCCTTCTAAATATGCTCTCAAGACTGCTGACGCCTTTTAATGTGTTGTTTTATTTCCTTCTTTACCCATTGCAGGATGCTCTTTGGCCATCCCCAAGGAATCCCCTTTTTTGAGCCTTGTGTCCCTGCAGAATGCAGATGGCTCCTGGGCCCTTGATTCTGAACTAGCTAAAATTCTAGCCCTCAAGGAGGCTACGATCTCAAGTAAAATACCACCTCTGGTAGGTTTATGGCAGAGCCTGTAGCATCCACATAGGACTGAAGAAAGAAAGTGTTGCTCAGAATGGGTACTTCTGCTTAGAAATGACCATCTTTGTCATCTTATGTCTGGGGAGCGGAGGTAGAACATAAAGGCTTATTGGTATGCATGGAACCATCCTGTGCAGAAGTGCTACCCAGGGCTCCCTGCCTGAAATCAGGATTCTCTACACAGCCCATTATGAAACACATTATGCCCTCTATGCCAATTGTAGGGGAATATGAGAAGACAGGTGCTATTGTGCTCATGTGCCATTTCTGGACTAGGAGGCACTTTGGTCTCCATAGCTTCTTAACTTAAAGATCTATGCGTACAGTGAACTGAGAAGCTGGACCTCCAAATGAAGCTTCCTCCCACAGAATAAGGCACAAGAGAGGTCTCTGCTTGTTAGCTTTGCATACAGAGGCATCATTGTAGTTTAATTAGGGTTTGCTTCTTTAAAGATTAAGTTTAATCTTTAATTTTCCATGCTGCAAGGTATATTTTGCAAATGGACTTCAAACCCTGGTTTCACCTGTTGGTGGTCTATAGCCATAGTTTTGTATTGAAATGTCTCCAGAACAGTTTCTTGTCTTACAAATGCTTCAGTCTGTACAGGACCAATGCACAAGCAGAATTCAGTGTGTCTTTTGTCCCCTGATCATTACTGCCAGGCCACCCAACACACATGGGCGACAGTGCTGGCCATCCTATGGCTCCACTCCCATGCTGCAGACCAGAGGGATGAATGGGAACTACTGAAAGCAAAAGCTCTTGATTGGCTTCATGCCAATGCAGGTAAGATGGGAGTGCTGGTCAAGAGGATTTAGGATGGGTGAGAAGCACAGAGCAGGGAACCAGAACAAAGCAGTCTGTGCCCCCTTCATGCCGCTCAGCTGTGCCTGCCCCCTACACCCGAGTCAAGTTAGGAAGTGCTGGTGATTTTGCAAGTCCAGCCTCTCTCTTGAATTTGGAGGTGGTGGAGACGATCCCTGCTGTATCCTTGCTCATGGAAGAGAGGATGGATGAAGGCCTCCTGGATAGTACTCACCAACCATACTTGGATGGGCCTTTCCATCCCATCACACAGAGCTCACTTAAATGAACAGTCTTGGACTGCAGAGTAAGAGCCGCCTAAACACAGGCTTCCCTCTATTCCCCATGTTCTGTCTCTCACCATCCCAGTGTTCTGCCAAAGTCTCTCTGCCCGCGTACCTTTAAATGTTCTTTTATTGCTCAGTCTGTTACTTGCAGTCCTAGACTGCCTCAAATATAAAATGCCCTGCTGGTTTATTTTGTGCCTTTCATTGTTCCCTTTGGAATACTTTGAAGAATTGTGCTCTGTCTCTTGACACTGGGCACACACCAAATAGACATTTAAAAGAAGAGAGCGGGAGCACAGTGGCAGGGGTGTCTTCCTGATCTGTAGACTTGAGTGGTAACCAGTAGTTTATCTTCATCTCCCTGATTGGTGGAACCTGTGGGAGAGATCCAAGGAAGCAGTACTTCACACCGTGTGCAGCTGAACTATGAAATTCATTTCTCCAGGATGCGATGGTGGTCACAGAAGTCTGTCAGTGGCTGCTGAGCCTGATGGCCCTGGGCTACCTCCTGGCTGTATGTTTAGGCACACTGCCTGCAAGGGAAGGGGAACTCCTGCACACATGTCCCACGTGTGCATCTCCCATGGGCATCTGCTGGGCTACTGTGGGAACACAATCCTGGACTGGATGGACCTGCACAACCCTTCCTATGCACAGGACCAAAACAGACTCTATTTCAAAAATGTCTTCTTCTCATGTTTACACTAGAGTAAGCATGGGAAGCCCGCTCTGGGTTGGGTCCCGAACAGGGAGAAAGCATTAAACCCCCAGTTGGGATCAGTTCCCCTCTGCCTACTTTAGAGTGAAACTTTTGAAAAGGCTGAGCTGATGGCTGCTATGCTAAGGTAAGGTCTGTTTTGTCCCTGTGGTGGTGCTGTGCCAAGGATTTGCCAGACACCAATGTGCACAGCAGCCAAAATGAGGTGGGGGTGCTGAGGGAGCCTCATCTTCTCTGTTTCTTTGCAGGGCCTGAGTTGAGTCAGTGTGTGATGGCTGGCAACGCATTGTTGAACAGTTGTGTGAGTCTCCAGGCCTTCAGGCTGTGAGCAGACTCTGTAACTCTGTGCCTCTTAAAAGGGAGTTTCAGCTTCACTCCCTTTTCTCCTCCTGCCAAATCATGCCATGCTTGATTCCAAAAAGGATATCCATAGTTCTTCGGCTGTAACTCTGTCTGATATCTCAAGTGTCCTTATTGCAAAAGTGCTGAAGTTTCCTCTCAACTCAGGATGCCAATTGTCCTGTATCATTTTCTTCACAGTATGCTATTTGTAGTGAAAAAAGGTGCACTTTTAAAAAACCTATAAAGTGAATTTAGTGATAAATTAAAAGCCTATTGATGTTTATTGTATTTTTTATCTACCCCCTCCCCCTTTTTTTTAAAGCAGTACAGATGGAAGGGAAAGGCTGTAAGCCTAATCAAGAATACCGTGGTAACTTGGCTCACAAACTTAATCCATTCCAGGACTCTGGTTGTGACCCAAACTGGTCATGAGCCAAGTTAAATTTCCCCATAAGGTTCAATGTAGATAAGGTTAATCCATTCTGTAATTATTTTTTAATCAGAAAAATGTGAAGCAAAGTGACAAAGAACAACAAAGATCGCGGCCATCTCGCCCCACCCCAGCACGACCTCGATCGCACCCGTCCTCCCTGCACGCACCCGTCATCCCGGCATGCTGGGGGGGAGGGGGCAGGGAGAGATGGGAATGATCGCAGCCGCACTCGGAGGGCGGGGAGACAGGCGCAATCGTGCTGGATGGGGAGATGGCTGAGATCGCAGTTGCGCTCATGCAGGAAACACGGGCACAATCAGGCGCACTCGTGCAGGAAAGATGGGTGCGATCTCAGCCATCCCCCCCCCACTGCCCCCAGCACGATCCTGGCAATCTCCCCACTTGCAGGGGTGGGGAGATGGCCATGATCGTGGTCGCCACCCAATGTGGAGTTCTTGACCTGAATCAAAATTTTTATGAAATTTTTGTTTGTGAACCAATTTGGTCGTGAACTGAGGCATTCATGAGCCGAGGTACCACTGTATATGAATTTTTGGAGGGGATATGGGTATAATTAAAGTATATTATATACTGTTAATTGTTACAATATATAAAGTGAAATGAAGGTATTAACTGGTCTCCCAGGGAGCTGGTGCACAGTGTTTATTGTTAATTTTAGTTATCCATTGGGATTTAGATGCTATTATTGATATATTTTGAAGAATATGTATTTGTATCTCAATTACATTTACGTTCTGTTTTAAAAATGTTTATTGTATTTCTAACAGAAAAAAATTGAATCTTTGAATATTATTGATAATGCATAAAGTGATTGAATTAGTATTTGATTTCAGATTGTTCTCTGAAATAAGGACGGGAGGAAGAAGGGGAAATGGATGGAGAATGGAGGAGGAGAGGCAGGAAAGAAGGGAGAATTTTATTTTTAATTGTAATTGGGTTTGTGCATATGCTGTGGGGTGAATTGTGCCTTACTTGTTGTCTATATTAAAGCAATTTTCATGTGAAATTATTAGCTTGCTCTGGCTGCTTACCAATTTAACAAGCATTATTAAAAATTTAAAATTAATTTAAAATTGTAGTTATGATACCTCAGATGTCTTTACTGCCCAGGGCTGGGTAGGGGAGAAGGGTATGATTTTCGAGCAAGGCATTCACATGGAGATGGCCCTGAACATAGCCCATATCTTGGCAGCAGGAGATAACCAGTGACACCTCAAGGCAGTGCCTTGGTCTAAAAGAGGCCCTGTCAGAGCAAAGCATTTGGCTGGGTGGGTTCCGCAAAGGGCTGAGCTAGCCATTCTGCTGCTACTGCTGGCCCCTCTCAGCATACCAGCTGGCCAGTCATGGCCGGGTAACTGCAGTTTGTGCTACTAAAAATTGCCTCAGCAGCTGCTTTTGTCATGTACCCCTGCTGGAAGAGTTCCCTGGAGAAAGCACTGGGAAAGCAGCAATTGCCAGCCACCAGCAATATACAGGATGTACCAAAAGACCAGGAAGACCCTCCCTGCACCTTCAAGGGTGACAGAATTCCACCTGCAGACCACCAAAAAAGAAGGGCACTCGATTTAGTCCAGTCCCCCTTTCACTCATGAATCTCGGTGTAGCTGCGTCCATGATCATTATTCAATCATTATTAGATTGTTAATATGGTGTCTGGTTCAGGAATATTCCCACGATGCACTTGACTTAAGTGATGGTCACCCATTCAAGACACCCCTAAAGTTCAGCCTGAAAAACTGCTTTCTGTAGCTTTAAGATCTCAGAGAAAGGTCTGTCTCTTGGAACTGCCACCTTCAGTGGGACATTTGATGACAATGCTAGAGAGGGCCTCCTTGGTGGCTGTCCCCGGGCCGTGGATGTCCTTGCCAAGGATGGTAAAGCGAAGTGCCTCTTCCACTGAAAGGCAAGTGTGTTGGTCTTCAAGTAGACCTTTCTCTAATATGATCAGTTGGGTGGGTTTAAATCTGTAACTGTACTATTTTTATATGTTCATTATTGCTTATTGTTTAACTAGTAAAGTTTGTGATAGCTAGCTGCTTTGAGTGCCATTTTCATGATGAAAAGACCATTGATAAAACAAGCAAACCCTGAGAGTTTTCCTGAGAATTGCAGCCATCTGACTTGTCATCTGGGGCTGATCCATATATGGATAGCTGAGGAACTCTGTCAAACTCTTTGATATCACCAAACATACATATGTCCTCTCTGGCTAAGGTTTTTAATAAAGCCAACCATTGTAAAGACTTAGCTGAGCTATGTTATCTTGGTCATCATCTCTCAAAAGCTCTGTTGGTTGACCTGCCCTGAGTCAGGAAGGTTCATGCCTTGCCCCAAACAAGTCAGAGGCGTGTATGTTTTGAGAAAACAAAGACTTGGGCCACGTTAATGGCCAAAATGTCTAATCCAGGGATCCTCAAACTTTTTGAATAGGAGGCCAGTTGGAAGGTGCTGGCAATGGGCGCGGGCCACCAAGGCAGTGCGGGTGGGAGGCATGGGCTGTGGGGGGGAGGCGCATTCGTGCGGTGAGGCAGGGGCGTGCGTGTGCAGAAATTGTTTTCTCCGAGTGAGTCCAAAAGGATCTTGTGAGCAAGCTGGTGCTCTTTTTCTACCTAGCCAAATCCTCAGCCAACCAGAATTGCATTTCCTAATTCAGGCCCCACTGAACAATATTTAGAGTGAGAGTTCCGCTCTGCTTCTGCATAATGTCACCCAGCAACCACAGCAGAAAACTTCTCAGCAATGCAACAAGGTCCCAGTCTTACTGGGATTCACTGTAACTGTATAGCACCTCACAAAGGATATGTGCCAGAATCACAATGGCTGCATACAGGCCTTCCTTCACAAGTGGGTTGGCCTAGCCTTGCTCACATTTTTGCACAGGGAAGAGTTGCGCATTGCCCAAAGCAGGCAAGTGCATGTGTTTTGAGGATGCAAACCTTAGGTCTACTGTATTTCCATTTTCTTATATTTCAAAGTTGTATTGTTTTCTACTCACTAAACAAATGATTATTCCAAAGACTTCAAACATACCGTGTACAAAGTTTATTTCTCTCTACAAATGCTATGTATTTCAGCCCAAATTAGAGTTCCAATTGCATAGAAACAGAGCAAGTCAGAAGGGTTCTCCCAGGTCATCTAGTCTGACCCCCGGCTCCAGCCAGCTCCACTCACGACATGCCCATCATGTGCATGTCTAGCCTATCTTTGAACAGCCTCACCGATGGGGCCTCAGAGTCCTAACTGTTAGGAAGTGCTTCCTGGCATCTAAATGGAACCTTGGTTCCCTGAGCTTTGCTCCAATTCTGTAGCCATTGATAGAAAAAGTCCCATGTTTGGTAGTAAACTGTATTTTCTTTTTCCTTAAGAGATAAAGTCAGTCTATCCATTTCTGCACAGTACAATATCTTCATTCAATATCAAACCTTCAGCCGGAAGCTCTTCATTTCTCCAACATTGTGCATATGTGATCCTCGTGGTTTTTATTACATGCAAAGTCAAGTAAATAATTTATCAAGATCGTTGGGGAGAATGCCTAACAGAAATATTTCTGGTTTACATGTTACAGGTCTTTGCAACATTTCCCCAAGCCATCTATGTATTTTAATCCAGATTTATTGTTATTATTATTATTGTGCTTTATCACAAGTCTACCACATAATGAGGTCTATTTCCATTTTCTTATTGAGCCCTGGCTGTATCATCTGCCAGAATCTCCGTCACCTCTGAATATTTACCATCTGAACCCAGGCTTGAAGCAGAGATGAAGCAAAATGCTACTCTGCAAGCAGTGACTTGGATTTTGGTCTGCTAAGATACTCCTTAAAATGTACGGATACAGCAATACAGTCAAACAGAAGAGCTGCCAGCTTCAACAAGCATTGACTGGTGTTTGCATTTAGCCTAAATGTATTCGGAAATTTCTTGGGAAGTTCCATTGCTCAATGCTGGGGCACGTCATTTATTTGCAAAATACCTTGGGCCCTTGCCATCTCCAGGCGGGGTCGTGAAACATCCCTGAGTGATTTTCCAGTGACTCCTTGCAAAAAATGCCACATTTCGAGCTCAAGCCCCGCTGTGCTTCTGAGGTGGCGAGAGCAGCCGAAAATTTCTCCCCAGCAGCTTGTATCTTCCGCATGCGCTCTAGAGCTGAGCGACATTTGCTTCAGGGCAAGGCAACTGGAGGCCAATTTGTGACAGCTTCACGAACGAAGCCAAGCATGCTGCGCACAAGGCAGAAGCAACCTAACCCCCTTTATCCTCGTGATTTCTCCGTCTTAAGCCCAGCCCTAAAGAAAACAAAGAATCGGGGGGTTTGTTGTTGCTTTCCTCTTTTAAAAGCGTGGGAGTCAAGGGGCGGGGAACTAGCTATTTGGTTCCTCGCCGAGCACGGCCATTGGTGCTCATCGCGCAAAGAAATTTGTGGGCAGTCCCCGACTGGGGCGGAGGTGATGGTCTGCAAAAATGCATCTTCATTTTCGATTCAGCAAGAGGAACAAGCCGCGCCCGACCTCCTAGGTAAGGAAATCCTTCCAGATCCTCAAATCCGGGGGTGTTCTCTTGGCACCCCCCCAACCCATCTCTTCAGTTAAAAACTCCTCCTATATTCATTCTGGATCCTGCAAGTTAATTCCCGCCAGGCACCTGCACGCTGTATCTTGCAATAGAAACGTATGCTGAGGCGTAACCAAGCAATTGCCTCTTCCTCTGGGAGGGGGCTCACCTAGCCCATTTTCGCGCTGCGTGCTGCATGCACACAAGATTTGGTGCACGTATGGCCATTCTGCTTTGCGTCCCGGGGGCTTTGACTAAATTAAGAAGAATAAATCGGAATTAGCAATAAGCCCGTTTGCGAACTCCGTGCTAAGCGAGGCCCCTTGCCCTAAAAAGCCAGGTGTCTTCTGGAGTTCTCCCCCCACAGTAGTTAATCTGCCTCTTCCGAAGTCTGGTTAATCTGCGTAAGGAACATGGCCATCCCCTTCGCCTCGGCCAACTTTCCATTCCGTCCCGAAGGAAAGGAGTCCCGCTTTCCGGAAGGCAGGAGTTCTGGTGCAAACGTTGCAGTGTGGTTTCAGGTTTCAGATTGCATTAGATTTTCTGCAAGCCACCTGTTCAGAATCACAACAGTGCGGTTAAATATCAGTAAATGGCAGGTTTCCCTCTGCCGTTTAGTAATTTGGTTGCATGGAGTGTTGATTTTACTCCAAGATGCCAAATGAGAAAATGGAACAAACAAAATTGCTGTGGCACAATTGGGCAGCATACAAATGTTTTTAATTAATAAATAAATAAATAAATAAACAAACAAACAAACAAACAAACAAACTAGCTCTTGATGGTTTCTTGTTAATTCTGTATAAAGTTTTTTGGCTATCTGTGTGCCTAATGGGAGAGAGCTGTGGGATTGCTGTAGTGCTCCCACCGTTGTCCAAGTGTGGAGGAGTAGGAGTGCCATTCCAAGGGGTTCAGCCATCCTTCATCCTTCCCACTGGGGGAGGATGTGGGGCAGGCCTATTCTAAATGTCTGCTTCTCTATCCAGTGAATCACCTAAAGGGGGTTGGTTGTACACTGGCTTTCTGTGGCTAGTCCCTAAATATCAATTCCTAGCAGATATTTTAGCTAGGAACCAAATTATGTTAAAGGTATTGACCCCCCACCCCCAATCTGGTCTTTGGAGGATGGGGGAGTGTCGGCCCCCACCCCACTCATTTCTAGATTTGCATCTCTGATGTAACCAAAAGTGAAAACAAAAACTGTTGTTTTTCCACAGTTCATATCTGTTTCTAGGCAATCACTTCCCCTCTGAGCGATAACCATCGGCCATGGATTTCTGTGGTCTTCTCACTTGCACTAACAAGCCAGGTAAGTCACCAACATATGGTTGTTCAGTTAAGTGTGAGTAAAACTGTGATTATCCAATGCTCATAATGGATTAAGGTAAGAAATCACCACAACTGAGGCCAGCCAAGGTACCATGTCCAGCTTTCTGAGTGGCCACAGGGCTGACCCCTCGGCCCCATAATGTCAGCCACGAGGGGCGTTCCCCATGGTGTTGAACTCTGGAATGAGGAATTACACACTTGCACTGGATGGACTTCTCCCTTTCTTTTTTCCCCAGTGCCCTTGCGAAGCATCTCTGTGGATGCCGTCATCCGGAGCTTTGTGGCTGATGTGGTGTCTGAGCTCCGGTATCAGAATGAGGAGGAGAACCCCGTTGAGGTCAGATTTGTCTTCCCACTGGATGCTGTAGCAGCCGTATATGCCTTTGAGGGCCTGATTGGTGGGACACGGATTGAGGCCCAGATCCGAGAGAAGAAGCAGGTACGCCAAATATGAAAGCTGCTAATGGAAAGCCCATTGGGAAACTCTTTTAAAGTCTCAAAAGAGTTACAATTTTAGTCCTAACTTGACTGCCTCATCCTGCTTTGTACCCAATTATGGCCTCTCTATCCCATCTATCATTATCCAATGCAGGCACAGCAGGAGTATGAGGATGCCCTGACTGAAGGCCGCCAGGCTTTCCTGCTGGAAAGAGAAAGAAGCAGCAGTGACATTTTCGTTTGCACCCTGGGTAACCTTCCTCCTGATGGGGAGGCCGTGTTGAAGCTGTCATATGTTCAAGCATTGGATCCAGAACCTGATGGCGCCATCCGCTTTGTCCTGCCTGCAGTCCTGAACCCTCGCTATGTTCCTCAAGGTAAGATCCTGCCTCCCAATTCCCAATACTGACTAGACAATAAAATAATCTCGCAGAGGTGACTCATTGCCACCTGGGCTTCAGTGTGCATTGCAGCCCTCCAAAGGTGACCCAAGCAGCTGCAGAAGTTGGTACTGCAGACCTGGGTAAGTCCTTCCATCTGTCCTGCTCCTCTGTGTTCATGGGTGTGCACCTCTTTTACTGCTCCTCTGGGGGAAAAGAGGTAAATGAATAGCAGTGATGGGCCAGAGGGTGCCTCTATGACAACCCCAGTGCAAGTCTTTTAAATGTGCATGGGGCAGAGGCAGGTCTTGTGTTTTGAAACAGTTTTGTTAGGGGCACCTTTATTACCTGTACAGTACATACAGCTTTTTGGGGAACAATCAGCTGCCACAGAGTCATCACCAGGCATTCGGGAAAACTGCTGGAGAGATCTGTATAACTGGATAAGCTTAGAACAGCTCATTCTTGATTAGGCAGCCAGCCAAAATCATTCTGTAGTTACAAAAGAAAGCATTTCAGCACTCTTGTGCTTTTGGCAGCAACAATTCTACAAACAGATAACAATATTCTCACTGTTGAGCAGATACTTTGCAAAGTTCTCATTTTTCTTCTGCACCCCACCTCCCATATCCTCTGCACAAAACTTTTCCAGACTGGCGTGGAGGCCTATCAATTGTTATTAACTATAGCACAATCCTGGGTCATGGTGCTCCTGCTACCACCACCACAATCTTAGCATGACTTTCCTGTGAGAGTTTGTCCTTTCTGTTGTATATTTGTGTGTGTGCTTGTTGTGCTTGTGCTTCTCACTGCAGACTCAGCAACAGACACCATCACTAAAAGCATACCACGAGTGCCCAGGGGACAGCTTCCCTACACACTCAGCCTGTGCGCCAAGCTCCAGTCTCCCTATGGCATTGACCATGTAGAGTCAAAATGCAGCCTTGAGCCAATGCGCTACACGGCAGAGGATCACACCGCAGCCGAGGTGGGTCTGCTGATAAACTATGGAAATGTTTATGACTGTGCACAAATAATACATAAAAGCAGCAATGTTAAGATTACAATTAGAGAGGTGCTGAAGATGGGACATCTAGCTCATTTGAGCTGGGCAGGCTCACTTCCCACTTGTAATCTGATGATTGCAAGCAGAATGAGTTGGGTTTTTCCCCATGGACTTCCACCTCTAAGATGGGCTGAAGCAGTTGGGCTATACATGCAAGCCTAACCTCCCAACATCCCAATTCCTGCTTCGAGACCTTTATAACTTCAGTGCAAAGGTCTGAAGGGAGATTCTAAGTGTGTTCAGCCCAGTTTATTTAGGAGCCTTACCACAACTGGAAACCGTAATAAAACATGGAGATTCTAAGGCGTTGGAATCTCTCTTCAGACTATGCACATATGGTAAAACATTTGGATATTATGGGTTAATGCTTTTATCTTTGTGTACTGGTCAGTGTAGAACAGAAAGGTCAAAGGTTCTCCTAATTGTTAAGGAATGCAAGGGATAGTAAATGCCTCCCTATGCCACAGAGTATACAAAAGTAGAGGAGATAAATCAGTGAACACAAGGTTTAGCAGACAGTGAAAGAAATAAGAAGGATGCAGAATTGGGTTGCATTGGTTGGGATGCTGAGAAGGAATGATGTTCACAAGAAATTTGAGTTCTGCAACAAAGTATGCCAAAAAGAAAAAAAAAACCCTGTCCCACTTGAGGTATGAGCAAAGGAAGGATACAAGAACTTAGAATAAGAAGCGAAGGAACTTAGCAGAGAGCAAAAGTATGGCAAAGGTGAGTCCTCCTGATTTATTAGAGTTGCAAGAAAATGGGATATCTTTCACATATAAAAACCTTTGCAAAAATGCAAATTTTAGTTGAAGAAAAACTCAGAGAGCTGCTTGAAGGCCGCTGATGCAAGAGAAGTACAGGAAAAGTGATGAACCCCAGACAGTGAGTTATTATTGGAAGAAACTAGGATAAAATCGGAAAAAGAAGAGGTCTGGGCAGTAAGTCATGCAAAACCAGGCAGAAAACAACTGCTTCTATGTTTAATCAAAGTGGGAAGACTCTCCTCATTTTAAGTTGTTGTATTTTCCTATATCATATAATTCTCTTGCATGTGGAAATGAGTTACATCAACCTTTAAGCATATTTCAAAAGACGATGTGGAAAATTCTTCTACTCCCAAAGGTTGCCTTAGCTGGAGGGTACCAGTTTGACCAAGATGTGGAGCTGCTGATTTATTATAAAGATGTTCACAAGGCCAGTGCTCTCCTAGAGTCTGGGAAGCCTGGAGCACCTGCAGGTGAGCAAATCCAAAAGTGATAGAAGGGTAGAGGACTGAAATTAGTGGGGGATGGAAGGGTGTTGCCCTAAGCATAAACGTCTCTTGGGTCTCCTTTCCTCCTGCAAAACACAGGCTCACTGATGGGGGACCCAGCCCTTCTGCTCAGCTTGTACCCCAGTGTCCCTCCTCCGAAACCTGATCAGAATGCTACTGGGGAATTCATTTTCTTGCTGGATCGTTCTGGTAGCATGGATTGCAGAACGGACCATACTTCTGACTCATCATCACGCATTCAGAGTGCCAAGGTGCCCCATAGATTGGTAGAAGTGTCTCTGGAAGAGGGATAATGACTGGGAACAGAAAGCATGGATTTGGCACGGAGAGGAGGGTGGGATGGAAACAGCAGGTGTGCGGCCAGGAGCAGGGCAACGAGTGCACCACACAGCCTGCCCTCAGCCCAACCTGTGGCCCTCAAGTGTGGTGGAGGGTTAAAGGGGTCACCAAAGCTAAAGTAAGATAGCACCAGCAGCAGCAGCTTTGGTCCTTTGCCTCTTTCAGTCCTTGCATCAAACTGTTTTGGGCCAGGCCTGGAGAGAATCCAGGGCAGGCTGCAGATGGACGGATCCTGGGTAGGACTGGAGTGCAAATGTTGAAAAGAGCCTTGGAAGAATGGAGTGGGATATTGAGAGTGACTACAGCTTTTGTTTCCTCAATCTCAGGAGACCTTGATCCTCCTGCTGAAGAGTCTCCCTCTGGGATGTCATTTCAACATCTTTGGCTTTGGATCTAGTTATGATTCATTCTACCCGTGAGTCGGGGGGCCTTGTACCACCTACTTCTTTAACATGTTCCACAAAATCTCTTCCTTCTGCATGTTCTGGACCACTAGAGATGTTCTTACCTGCCCGATGTTTTCTCTCCCCATCTTTGCTTTCCAAGCCCCATGCTTCCCCCTCCTTTGTATCCTGTGCAATATTAGCACAATGGAAGGGATTTCAGTTGAGTGGGTAGAACAGGGCCGGGAATTAAATGGAAGACTTGTGTGTGTCCTGGCAGTAAATGGTGGGAGTGTTTGTGAGGCAAGGTGGAAGACCTGGCCGTGCTTCAGGAAAGGTAACTAAGACCTCTGCACTCTTAACCCTCTGGTATCTCCTACAGGAAGAGTGTTGAATACACGCAGGACACCATGTCTGTGTCGCTTAAGTGGGTGAAGAATCTGAAGGCTGATTTGGGGGGGACAGAGATCTTGCAGCCGCTGAAGGCCATTTACAGGCAGCCTTACCTGGAAGGACATCCTCGGCAGGTTTGAAGCGTTCTCTTGCGGTGTGTTTCATATTGTGTTGCACCAAAATGTAGAGGAAGACATGGAAGACCACCTCCCCCAGCTAAAAATAATCAGCTGATCTGTGCATTTGGTCTCTCAGCTAAGAAATACCTCTGTTGTGGGGGCTGTAGCGGGAAGGGAACCTGCTTTTGCCTGGGGTTGGAGAGTACATGCCCTGTGGCCATTACTTGTTTCTTGTATCAGGTGGCAGCTGCTCAGCTACCTCTAAGGGGACACCCCAGATTCAAACACTCGGTCCTGTGCTAGCGGGGTTGCCACAAGGCTAGGACAGGCTCTGATGCTGCATCTCTTTCCACAGCTGTTTGTGTTTACTGATGGAGAGGTGCATAACACAGATGAGGTCATTGCTGAAGTTAGCCGTCACAGGGGTTCCCACAGGTAAGAACTTGGACTGGCAGATAAGATGCTTTCTACACACGGGCCTGGGTGCCTCCTTTGACCCCCCCCCCCACCTTCACAACTCTCAACAGGTGCTTCTCCTTCGGTATTGGTGAGGGAGCTTCCACGGCACTCATCAAAGGGATCGCTCAAGCAGCCAGCGGCAGCGCTGAGTTCATCACGGGCAAGGAGCGCATCCAGGCCAAGGTAAGGTCCTGGGAGATCTGCCTGTTTCCTGCCTTCCTGGATGGCACTAGTTTCACCTGAGCTGTGGGTAATGCACTGAATTTTTTTATATCCCTGCAAGTGCAACTGAGGATTCCACATTTTCTCTTGGTTTGAAAAGAACGCCAGTTTAATTAGAAAGAAAATAAATGAAAATGTAAAAAGGCATTGTTCCTCTCCTCCTCACCCCTTGGTCTTCCCTCAGAGCACAGAGGCCAAGTTTTAAAGGACACCCTTTTCTCATTGCTTCCATGGTCTGCCTATTTAAAGCCTTGCTCCATTTGTAATGCCCGAAGTATCATAAACATTTTTTTTTCATTCAGGGCAGAATCCAACAGGGAGTACTTGTGTCCCTGCCAGTTTTCTTACATTCCAATGCCCACTGCTGCAGAATCAAGGTTTAGCACTTCTGCAGGCAACCAGAAATGGGCAAAACTTCTTGTTTCTGGAAGAAGGCAGGCTAGGAGGGCTCAAATAAAGGGAGCTCCAGCAACCTTTCCAATTGGAGGTATGAGCATCTTGGGGCTTCCCATGAGAAGTACTAAGTTTTATTGTTACAGTGAATGTGGCGGGGGGGGGGCGGGGACGATGCCTTGTTTGACCACATTTCTGGCTGCTTTCAGCCACACACTGCTCCCACAGTTCCAGGTAAAATCTAGGAAGTACTTTTCTTTTTAAGCTGCAGTTTGAGATTTGATTCAGCAAAGATGCTTTGAGCAGGTCCCTTAGTACCCTTGTTGTAAGGATTCTGTCTTCTTCAGGCACTGCAGTCCTTGAAGAAAGCCCTGCAGCCAGCAGTGACAGGAATTTCCCTGAAATGGAACTTGCCTCCTGGTCTCGAGGCCAAGCTTGTGGGATCAGGCCACCAAGTCATCTTCCCAGGGCATCACTGCCTTCTCTATGCCCAGATCCATGGTCAACATCAGGTAGGCAAGCCTTACCTATGGAAAAAACTTAGTTAACCTTAGTTAGTCCCTCATTTCAGAATTGGCCAGCCATAGGGGAAGAAGTCACACATTTAAGTTCTTGGTTCACAGATGTTTATAATCCTATAATGTATTGGTTCAGTTGGCTAGTTAATTCTGTTTCTGTAGCACTAAATAACCAAAGCTCTTACTGCTGCTGAAAGGGCTTTCTCTGCTTTTGTGCCTCTGCCTTCCTGCAGCCTTCAGGCCCTGCCGAGGGACATGTTCTTCTGCAGTACACCTTCCAAGACCAGACCTTCACAGAGACAATGACATTCCCTCTGCAGGCTCAGGAAACTGACAGGTGAGCAAATCCAAGAGCCTGGCTATCCTCCAAGGCATCTGGGCTGGAAACTCTGGGCAACATATAGAAATTCTGGCTATGATTGAGGAGGGACAGGAGAGTAGAAAACATGTGTTTATCGCATATAACCAGTTACATGTTCAGCTTTTCAATTCAGACATGACATTTGGTTACGTATGTTATGAAAATAAATCAGCAACAATGATCAAAGTATCCATCAGTTTAAGATCAGAGTCAAGCCTTTCTCATAATGGCTTGGACTCCAAAAAACCTAGAAATGCAAAGCAAAGACTAAAACCTGGACTTATGTGCCTTGGGATCAGTGATGACAATGGTCAGGGTCCCAGGTTTATTGCTCACTTACAGCTAGGGTTGGGATGAACCCTGTCAGAATCCATCTGTCCAAGGATTGGCGGGCTTCCACCTTTGCTCTACTTGGTCTTCCAAAGCAAACTGAGCTGAGAGGAAGTCCACAAATGCTCATGACCACCTAGTTGTGCAACCAGCACATCTGCAGTCAAGCCAGCTCCAATGTGGTTTCGTCACTCTCAGCTCTGGGACCGCAGAGCCATGTGGTCTCTGCATCAGAGAGGGCACTTGGAAGCCATTATATCAACCATCCGGGTCATGTCCACAGCTCAGCCTTAACAAGTATGCCAGTCATATTGCTCAGAATGTGCCCTTCCCCTCACCTTTCATAGGTTTGAAATGCAATTGCTGCAGAAAATTATTTGGATGATGGTGACTACTGTAAGCCTGTTGTGAGCAATTGCTGTCCTTTGGAAATGGTGTGCCAAAATGTGCTGCAGCCCATGGAATTTTTCTAGGAAGTAGCTCATGGAGATATCTAAAATGGTCACTCTGAATTTTGTCTTGAAGGCAAGGGGCGGGAGTGTCCATATAATCCAGGCATGCTTAGAAGATTTTGAGTGCAATTACAGGTTTTCCTTCCTCTTCCAATGTAATCTCAATGCATTTTCACGTTACATATTAACAAAGGCTAATTGCTAATGACAGTACAGCCTTCCTGATTTCTGTATTTCAAGGGCTACGAATTTCATGTAGATCCACTTTGCCAAATGTTCCCCACATTTCTCCAGGATGCCTGTTCACCGGCTGGCAGCTAAGTTCTTCTTACAGGAATTGGAGCAGGCTGGGGAGAAGGAAGAGGAGAAGCAGCACCTGGCACTGGAAACCAGCCTGAGCTCTGGGGTGGTGTGTTCACAGACAGCCTATGTGGGGGTGAACACAGAACTGGGCAAGACATTTCACACCCCACTTATCCACCGAGATGTCCCTCTTATGTGTGAGTAGAAGAAGACCCTTGAGATGATAGCTTAGATCCCTGAGGGACATGTGAACCAAGCAGAGAGGGTTGTATTAGCATATTAGAGCTAGACATAGAGGAAAATGCCAAATTTGTAGGCAGGGCTATATTACCACATTTGACCACAGCTTTTTTGTTTACTATATTTATATCCGTCATTTTTCCTGCTAAGAAACTTAAGGTGGCTTGCCTAACTTTCCTCTTCTCAGTCTTATCCTCACAACAGCCATGCTGTGAGATTGGGTGGGTTGAGAGTCTGTGCCTGGCCCAGAGTCACTCAGAGATCTCCATGGCTGAGCGGGCCCTAGAACCCAGATCTCTTGAGTCCCAGTCTCATGCTCCTAACCACTATGCCACACTGGCTCTCTTAACTGCTGCACCATTCAGTTAGTTTAAAATTGCCAGGGGTTAAGCTAAGTTTAAACTGACCCAGTGTGTGCATCATAAGCTTGAGTAAGTGATGCTTAGTCATAATTAGCATTCTCTTTGCTGGGGACCCTCAGTCCACAGAAACTGCTTAGATTTTCCAGGCTTCAGCTTACTGTGAGAGCAATGGGGCTCTCTAGGGCAGCTGGTGGGGTCTAGTCCACTCTGAGCTTAGTGGGCAAATTGCAGGATACAGGTGTTACCTTAAGCCTCCAATTTTTCAGCAGGGGTCCCGTTGAAAGGCAGTGGCAGCAGCAGGCACGGGCTGGTGAGGCGGCAGTGGAGGGCGCAGGCTGGTGAGGCAGTGATGGTAGTCGGCGCAGGCATATGAGGCGGTGGTGGCAGCTGGCATGGTGAGGTGGCGGGCGCAGGCACGGCAAGGTGGCAGGCACGGTGGGTGTGGGCGTGGGTGAGGCAGTGGCGGGCACAGGACCAGCCACCCCTGGGCTGGCCATCCCCGGGCTCACATAATCAAAAGGCGGGCTGGATAAATGGGTATGGATCCAGCCCATGGGCCGTAGTTTGAGAACCCTTGCCTTAAGCTAACAGAAAGACTTACTGTTCTCATAGCTGGCTTCTGGAGCACTTACTCTGCAAGTTGTCTGTCTGCTCCCTCGCCTTTATTGTGCTTGGGTGCACCATCACAGGGGGCTCTGTCCTGTGAAGAGGAAGACTACTGTGAAGAGGAAAACTACTATGGAGGTAATACAAATGATGCAGCTGCTGGAGATGCTCTACCTTTTCCAGAATGTTTATTGGAGCAACTGTGCTCAGTCGTGATCTCATTTGTTGCGATTGTGAGTGGATTTGCACGGCACAGTAATCCATCCTACCCCTTTCGCTGCTCTGTAGTGGCTCATCTTCGCCTGTGGTTGATCATGTTGGTCAGGTCTGGATGACAACCCATTGTGGGTGAAGCAGCTGATAGAATGAACCGTAGGTTCTCAGGGTGGCTTATGCTTGTAACATAAGCCATCCTGACAAACCATGGCAGGTTGGCACAACATGCAAGGTGAGTTGCCATGTCTTGTGAACCAAGTCAATGGCCAGGTCCACACAATCAACAGAGGCATCTTTTTCCTCCTTCCCATGGACCAGGCTGGTACTGTACAATTTGCTGAATGGTTCCCCCAGCATGCAGCTTCCTGTGCCACGCAAACCGAGTGAGGTGTGCAGCAGAGGGTGGCTTCAAACCTCTCCAGAATCAATGTTCAGTGTAGGTAACTAAGCAAATTGGGTGGTGGTTGAACCAGGGTAGTGGCTTATTCTGTTATTTCAACCCAGTCTGTGGGGTTTTTTTCATTGATGAGTTGGACAACATGTGGCATTGATTTATGGGGAAATTTTAATAGGAGGGGTAGGAGACAGAAGCATAGAGTGAAGTATGAGATGTGTAATGGAACCCATGGATAGAAGCCTGGGATTTATATGCACCTCCCACAATTCTCACCCTCCAGAAATGAGGGCTTTGTTCACCACCTTCTGTTTTTCAGAGAGGTGGCAGATCCCACCAACTCAACTTGGAATGGGATTTAGGTGATGTCTAGGAAGTATTCTTTTTTAAAAATGGAACTTTTTCAATCTCGCAAAGGTTTCCCATTAGAATCTTGTGGCTGATCTGACCTGTCACAAATCAGCTTTAGACTGATCACCAAGACCAGAAATGTAAGGGGACAGTCAGACGCCCTAGAATAGGATGCTTCTTCACTAAGGAACTTTCTTAAATGCATTCTGGAGCAGAAATCCAGATAGAGAGTACAAGTAGGGCTGTTGGATAATAAAAGCCTCCGAAGAAAATGGAAAAATCTCTGTGAAGCTAAATCCTATCTTATCTTCCTTCACAGCAGCAGTTCATGAAATATTATCTAATTGTGTCTGGCTCTTACCTCCAGGGGCAATGAACTCTTCCATTTATGGTAACCTACATTAGAAGGACTGTTCTGTATTAAGGGATAACGGGATTGGGGGAACAGGGTGTAGAAGTGGCAGACAGGAGAAATAGTGGTGATTGTACTCCATCACCCAAGCAACAATTAATGGCAGATTGTGTGTTATCACTGAAACAAATCTCTGCATCTGGTGGCTGACCATCTGCCTCAGGTAAATTAGTGGAAAGCATAATGGAGGATAGAGTAGTCTAGCCAGTGACTGGAGGAAGTGGCATCCATGATTAATCCCAAAAAACAAATGTTGTACTATGCTCTTTTCAGTCTGTCTTTGCAAAATGCAGCAGAAGGAAATTGGACACTAGGAATATAAGCATGATCTGTGCTGCTGCAGTTACATTGGCTCCCTGTAAGCATCCAACCCAGTTCATAGTATTGGTGTTGGCCTATGAAACCCTTCAAATATATGAACTGCCCTGTTGGATATATCCAAAGTCCAAGATTCTGTTTCCAGCAGGAATCAGCCAGATGCTTCTGGAAGGGTTTCCCCTGCAAGCCATAGCCCTTCTTGTTTGTCCCTAGCATCTCATCGCCAAAAGTCTGGCTCAGGGGTTTGCAGCTCTTTCAGCTCAAGAGCTGAATTCCATGTTAGAGAAGCTCTTGGTAGCTGCATTCCTGCAGTAAGTGAAGCCAAAGGCAGAATGGAGAGGGCACACCAAAAGGAGGAAGCTGCTTCTTTAGAGGATAGAGGAAATATGGCTGTCTAAAGAACTGCAGAGGGCCATATTGGGTTTCCAAGCTTGAGATTCAGCAGCCCTGCTCTACTGCTCTTAAATATGGAGGCATCATTTAGGGCACTTCTAATTGGATAACTCTGTGAGCTCCTAGCATATTAGCAGCAGATTTTCCAAACTGTTGGAAATACTGTGCTTTCTCCATGCGTACAGTCCACTACATTACTCTCCCAACTTTTATAAGAAGTAGGGTTTTTGTGCAGACAATGGCACCTTGGGCAGGTGACTCCTATCACATTTCAGCACACATTCAAGGCCGCCTTTGCCGTGGACACCATTTTATTCAGTCTATTCAATTCTTAATTTGACTTTTAATTAATTAATTTTCATATTAATAATGCTTATATGCTGCTAAACATAAAGCTCTACACCGTTTTAAGTTGTTGCTGCGGGCCACCATTTCTGACTCATAGTGACTCCTTGAATTGGTGCCCTCCAAAAGCTCTTGTCCTTGACATTGCTGCTCAGCTCTTGTAAAGTCAAGGCTGTGGCTTCCTTGATGGAGTCCATTCATCTCATATTTGGTCTTCCTTATCTTCTGCCTTCATGAAGAAGGCATGATTGCCTTCTCCAGTGAGTCTTGCCTTCTCGTGTTGTGCCCAAAAGATGACGATCTCAGTTTTGTTGTTGTTTCCAGGGCAAATTTGTCCTTCTGTCGGACATGCTTGCTTCCAGGGCAAGTTTGTCCTTCTGTCAGTTTAGTACTCACTAAAACATATTCCTAGCTAGTAAAATAACAAAATTTGACTTCAGGCAAAGTATGCGAAAGTGCTGTGTCTTATAAGGCCATTTTAAAAATTTTAAAACCCCTTTCCAGTCTTCATTGTATATGACTGGAAAAGGTTTGGGTTTATTTTAATATTTTGTGTGGGAAGAATAGCATATTTATTTAGTTTCTTTAATTAAAATATTTATATGCTGCTACCTACCCTACCTATGGCATTTCTAGCCAGCATATAAATGTATCTAGCAGATTGATTGATTGATTGATTGATTGATTGTATTGTGAAAGTACTATCAATGTGAGAACTTCTGCGAGATAAAAATGCATTATACATTTAGCAGGAACAACTGTCTACTCTCTTTTTATGATAAGCAGGGAGGCAGCCCTTACTTCTTCATGCTCTTTTACCATGTAACTGTCCCTGCCATTGGAGCTACTTGCCCCAGAATGCACTATTTCTTTCAAACAGAACTTTGGGTGGGGGGGGCAAATAGCAGCAAGAGGAGGAATTTTGGTAGGAGAACAGTGTTAATTCCTGGCTCTACAGTTCCAGTCTGGAGTAGGGGGCTTAATCTGAATTTTTTTTACCGCCAGATTCATCCATGATACATTATGTGGATGCGTTCCAGGCAAGCGGATCTCTTTCCTCAAGCGCGAACACCTTGGATGATGAGGAGGCTATCTATGTGGAAAAGGAATCTCCTTCCCTGAGCCTGATCTCCCTGCAGAACGCCGATGGCTCCTGGGCCCTTGATGCTGTCCTAGCCAAAGCTCTCAGCCTGAGCGAGGCTGACATCTTGAGCCGAACGCCGCCTCAGGTGAGTTTCTGGAGACTGGCAGCAGTTACTTGGGCAGCTGATCTAATCCTTCATCTGATTGCACATCTCTGCTTGGAAACGATTGTCTTGGGGATGCATTTACTGAGTCCAAGGAATGGAAGATGCTTGCGGCAAGGAACTATTACTTGCTATTTCTAACAGAATTTTCCGATGCAGACATAACATGGTTATCACTAATGATCCCCCCCCGCCCCCTAACACTGAAGACATACAGTGCAGTAATGATTTATCTTACGGAGCAAAGGAAGCACTACAAGATCTTCAAGTTGTCTTCAACATTGTTTGCTAACTGCTAATAATGGACCAGTTTACATAATATGACAGCCCACTGTGAATTATTTTACCTTCAAGAAGCCACAGTACATGCTTACCGCCATTATGAACATGCATGCCCCAGCACAGGATTGTTGTGTCTTGTGAACTTAGGTGGTGAGGGTTATTTGATGGTTAAAGAATCTTCACATAACCCTAAAACAGACCATAGATTATGCAATTACTGTCAAATAACCCCAGCCTGCCATGCAATCCCCCACTAGGGATTTTGGAATTCACAATGGCTGCCAACACATACCACAGCTCCTCCATGGTAAATTAACCCACAGCAGGCTGTTCTGTCATGTAAACTATGTCATAATAGCTAGGTCTAAACAATAATCCACATTCAAGGGTTGACTGTGGGTTATCAATGAACCATGGGTTGCAGTGAAATGATTTTATTAATTTTATTCATATACCACCTTTTTTCTTTTCAAGAAACTTAATCTGTGGCTGACCCAAAGCCATCCAGTTGGCTTCATGGCTGAGTGGGGACTAGAACCCAGATCCCCTGAGTTGCAGTCCTACACTCTTAATCACTACATCAGGTTAAGAATGTAAGACATGCTGTGTTGGATCAGTCCAGTGGTCCATCTAGTGTAGTGCTCTGTTTTCACAGTGGCATGCCAGCTGCCCACAGTATCCCAGAAGCAGGATATGGGTGCAGTGGCACTCTCCTGTCCATATTCCCCACCAAGGCATACTGCCTCTAATAGTAGAGGTAGTACGTATATAGCCATCAAAAGTAGTAGCCATCGATAGCCTTCTCCTTCATAAATTTTTCAATCCCCTTTTACAGATTTGCTAACCATCACTGCATCTTGTGTTGTCTGAACCCAGCTAAGGTGGCAAGCCATAGTGGACAAACCACATTTCACAATCCTACAACAAACCATGGGCTCCTTCATGGATTGTTGTTTAGCAAGTCATGGCTTGTTAGCCAGCTGGGTTCAAAGAACATGATAACCCATGTTTCAGTTTATTATGTTGTCTGATCCCGATCACTATTTAACCCTGGGTAATACAGTCCCTTCTTCAGGCCATGGTTTCATGTCATGAACTGTGGATATTCTGTAACTGTTCTCTGGGTGTTCAGATTTAATCTACACAGTGCTGAACCATTCTCAAGGTGTTGCAATATGCTTGAGTCAATTAGAGCAGAGCTCAGTGTGTCTTTTGTGTCCTTATCTCTGCTGCCAGGTGACCCCAAACACATGGGCGACAGTGCTGGCCATCCTGTGGCTCCACTCCCATGCTAAAGAACAAAGGTACGAGTGGGAGCTACTGGAAGCAAAAGCTCTTGGCTGGCTCCGTGCAAATGCAGGTAAGGAGATGTGAGCGATGGCCAAGGGAATGTGGGGGTGTGAGGAGAAAGAATGAGAAGAAACAGAGGAACTGGGAGGAGGACACCCAGTAGCCCCAGTCCAACCAGTCTCCTGCCAATGGATACATTACGGGGTTGTAAAACTGTATGGAGTGTTTGTGTATTGGATATGGTAATTTTCAGGCCCGCAGCATATATTTTTCAGGATTAGTTATGTTCCCCACTTCTAATCTGCTGCCTTGAAAATCACTAACATGCTTTGGGTGGGCATAAAGCCAGCCTAGGCAAGTATGACTTTTCAAAGGTTCTCTTGCTGAGCTTCTAAGGGTTGTTCTGCACCATCTGTTCATGGCATTTAAAATGTAGCAGTGCTTGCCATCTGTTGCAGGCCATCCATAGGCCAGGTCTCACTCTGGATGGGACAGCCTCATACAAAATGCCTATTTTACACACTTTTATTTGGGTTTTTTTTAAACTTTTACTGTTCAGTAGTTCCCCAAATGGTGCCCTGATACCCCGCATTGAAGCACCCACCTTGCCAGTCAAATTGGAAGGGGAGAGGAAGGACAGGACAGGACTGGACTGGACGAGAAGAAAGTGGGGAGTACAGAAGCAAAGCTATCCCTTTCCTCTAGAGACTGTTACATTCACACAGGATATTACACTGCTGTACTTTACAGATCCCTTGATCAGAGGCTAAATAGAGGTTAGCACATGTTCTGGTCATTTTGAAAGCTCCAATATCGTCTCTCTGTATTGCAGGGACTCAGGTGGCTGAGTGCGTCAAAGCTGGCAATCTCCTGCTGGGAACCAGTGTGAGCCCCGAGACCTTTGGGCTCTGAGCAACATTTTGTAACCTGAACTAGAAGTTCTGCTTCTTTCTCATGTGCCCTTGATTTGCCTGCTGGACCTACTTGCCCTTCTGGAATTATGTCAGTGCCTTCTCCTGCTTGAATGGTGGTTGTCTCTCACCGTGCCTTAGTGGAAGGGTGGGTTGAAGGTAGATTGTGGCCCACTGGTCAGCTTTGACTTTTTGTGATGAGCCAACTGACGTACGGTATGGGTTGTTATTTTTGCAAAGACTGCTTGACTCTATATGCTGCGGGTGAGCCTAGCAAACTGCTTAAATTCATAAGCAAGAAAGTGACTTCAGACTCCTTCCTCACGGAATAATTATGATTTAACGACTATAAGGGGAAGATTTTGCATGCTTGGTTTTAACATCTCTTGTATGTATCTGTAACTTTGGGGAATCTAGCAGAGCTAAAACAGTGTATGCAAGAGCCAAATCCCTGCTCCAGTTGCCTTCCTCACTGATGACATAACCATATTTCTTTATTAAAATGGTTGCTGCTTCCAACAGCCCTTGTCTGCTGCATCTCAGGAGGTCTCCACTTCTTTTTCCAGTACTTTGTGCAGAATCCTGTTTTGTGAAAAGCAGAAAGAAAAATTATGTCTTCACTACTTTTCTGGGTGTTGAGGAGTCATAGCAACAGGCTGTCAGACAAAACCAGAAGAGATTTGTTTGCTGCTGTCTAGAGGCTGGCCCAGAATAAAATAAAGCACATTTTTCTCCCATTTTGGTTATTTTGCTGATAGAGTGAGTGAGTGATTTCTCACCTAGTTATTTATTCTTACAAGATGCCTTATGACTAGCATAGGTATTATCATGCAGCCTTGATTAGAGTAAATATCACACACACACACACACACACACACAGCACCACAATCCCAAAATCCAATCCCAAATCCTGCTCCTATCGCAGTAAGAGACATTTGAGAATTGAGGTGGGATGATGGATGCTCCAGCTCAGGATCTCTTGCTTTGGGTTGCGGGTTAACTAGAAGGCCAATGGAGCCCTCAGCAGTATAGTGGTAAATTTTTAAGATGCTGATCATGACTAACCTCATAGCCACACATCCAAGGAGAATCCGAAACTGCAGTTTTGATCAGTATCTTCAAACTAGTTCTAGGGGTTTACATCTGCTAGGATAAGATCATTTTTGAATCTAAGGAGTTTTAATTGCCCATTCCATTCCAAGCCTCCCCAAAATGCTTTATACCAAGGAATAAAATACTGCTAATGCAATGGTTGGAGTGTCAATCTAGGACATTGGAAAACATGATTCTAGTTCCCATTTGGCCATGAAGCTCACTGAGTAACTTTGGACCAATCACTGACTCTATGAATAACCTACCTCACAGGGTTGTTGGGAGAATAGGATGGAGAAAAGAGCAGTAACGAATGGTGGCTTGAGCACCTTTGAAGAGAAGTGGAATGGCCGTGTTAACAAATAGATAAATTCTATGAGAGTTGTAGCCAGGCTCAGTGGGAACAGAGAATTCTGAGGAATAAAAAATTGCTGGCATTCATCCCTGTGAGGCTCGTCTCTACTGCACCACAGAGGGCTCCTCCAATTCTGATTCTGTATAGAGGAAAAAGCCTGAGAGATGGGTGGTGTGATGTGTGGTGTGCTGTGGGACACTTCAGTCTTGGCATATAGTGGAAATTAACCTTTACAGTACTAAAGTGCATTCCTGTAGCATGCTCCAGTTCCTCGGTTAAATTAAACTGCACTAAAATGTGCATCTGTCAATCTGCTTCTCTGTTATTCCCTGACAGTGAGTCTGTGGGGGTTAGTTGCTTCCCATATTTTCTTGAACTGATCTGACAGCGTCCATAAGGAAGTTAGGCTCTAGTCATGTTGGACCAGCCATCTTCCTGGTTAAACTGCTAATGGGAAAAGCTTTTTTTATTATTTTGTGAATGAGCAAATAGCTCTAATAGGCAGAGTTAGATATCCAGGAGCTTTTTTGCAATCATAGGATCAAATGGCTTCAAGAGGTTTGCTTCTTTAGGCTGGTAGGAGACTGCGGATGGAACAATGGCATTAACTTATGAATTTGAACTGCTCCCTAGAACCAGTCTGTTCATGTGAAAGAGTGCAAAGATAAAATTTGTCCATTGCTTCAGCCTTTGAATTGTGCAACCCGAGGTAGCTGCCTGTTTGGCTAAGGTGGTCCCATGTTTAAGCTAGCAGAGATTGATTCAGGCAATGCTATAGCCAATTGACCTGTAATTTTTGTTTGTTTGTTCCATGTAACTGGACCATATTATACGTATTTTCTTTGTCCACTGTGCACTTGGTAAGCAAACATTTTAAGCTTTGCAACTACCAATTTGATTCTGCAGGGCAGGAAAATTGCTATACAGAGAAGTAAAATGTTGCCTGAATGAACCTTTTGACAGTTGCCACTAGATGGTGCTCTTCACTTGATAGATGTGTAAATCCCTGCAATTGTCAGTTACATCTTTCTGTTTTGTGGGGCACAAGCAAAAATGTTTTGCATAACAACCCGCTGAGCCACCAAAACCAAACAGAAGACAAGTTATAACCGCTGCCACATGCAGCCAGTGTTGTCCACTGATCATGTCAAATAAGAAGTTTCTGCACTTCAGTCCCATCATCTCTTGCTGTACTTCTCATCTTTAATTCCTTTGAATTTTTTCCTGATCTCCACTTTAGTTCCTGGGTGTGCTGCCAAAGTCAGTGAAGCCTACAGGACTGAATCCCTCCCTGCTGTCCTTGGATTCCCCATTCGATGAGTAACTCTCTTGTTCAGCTGGCATTTGAGTTTAGGAACAGTAATAAAAGTTCCTGACCCATGACAAGACCACTTTCAATTAACTTCTCAGCCCAATAATGGTGGTTGCATGCATATTCCCCCCTCAACTAGTCTGTGGCACAGTGTTTTTTCTACCCATAGCCTCATTTAGGGCCACTGGACAGGAGTTACAGTGTGAAATGAAGACTTTTTGGGCCTACTCCAGGTGCATCTGTAGCCCCTATGAAATAATGTACCACCCAAAGGGGTGGAACTAAGAAAAAAGCAGGGCTGTAAGAAATTCAGATCAAAAAGAGTGGGAAAGCTCAAGAGGCAGGAGCTGCTGTTGCCACTAAGGCCCTTGCTGACTGGGTTTAGGTAAAACCCCTGCCTGTTTGTGTTGGTGGGTGAATCCACATAATGGATTCATGTATATACAATTGAATTGGCATTTTATTCCAGGGTTCTGAGGATTCTGCCCATGCAGCTGATTCTCCTATGTTCAGACAGTTGAAGAGGACAATTTGGATTAATTTGTTGAGTTGAATTCAAAAGGTCTTTTGAACTTTACAGCCGGATTTACTGTTGCCAGGGATTTGGGTACATGGGTTGTAGTATGTTTATCATTATATAATTGTTCATACAGTTCTAAAATGTTTGATAAAAAGGAGGTTTAATTTGTACGTTAGGTTGTGTTTTGCAATATTCATTAGGAAACAAATAGTCCCATAAAATCTACCAGTGTCATAAATGCACTAAGCACTGATCATTGAGAGCTGCATGGAAGTCCTAGACTGGGCAGTTTTTCTCAGTTCCGCTCTGCTGCATGCCTATGGACCTCCTTTCATAGATTTTTCCAGCCTTGGACTCACCTAAGCATGCATTTTGCCATTCATTTGCATAGTGGTAATGCTGCTAGTTCACTTCTTTCCTCCACTGCTGTGATCCAGTACTGGGTCTTGACCCACCAGCTGAAGATCAATGGACATCTTGAAACTTCTTGTGCAGAGTGGCAGCTTTTCTAAATGAGGCATTAGTCGTGCACTTGTCTCTATTCACTGTTTGCAGGTTCTTTAAATGACATGCTGACACTTCTGTACCTAATCTGCACTTGTAGTAATTTTTAAAACAAGCTGAATGTAACATTTTGTTAAAGTGAGAGGTGTATATGCTCTATTCCATTGTGCCACAGTGCCTCCTGGAGGTAATGTTGTGAAAAATCAGAAAAGGAAACTCCTGACTTAGTGCTCAGATTAAAATTCTGCAAGAAACCAAAAGTAGATACACCAGATTGAGAGCCAATCAACAATCCTGTATAGAAAAGCTCCTAGTTCCTGGAAAGGTCAGTCTTGTATGAGGCAGGGTGGGTTGCTTAGACTGAAGTTTTGGAGACATGAATTTGCAGCGGCTGGCCCTTTTCTGCTGTTCAATGCCAGCACCCTGCAGCATCACAATTCCCCTGTTCCAAAAACTTTTCATAGCAGATTTCATCCAGCCTTCAACCATTCCAGTTTTCTAGGGCAATTGATCCCATTTGTAATTGCTTTTGGATATTATTACATTGCATTTATAGCTTGCCTTTTTCCTTGCAAGAAACCTATAGTGGTTTACATAGTTCTCTTCCATGTGTACTATCACAACCACAACCTCACTCACTCTCACTCACTCACTCACTCACTCTCAGGCCTATGAAATAATGTACCACCCAAAGGGTGAGTGAATGAGTGAAGACATCAGGTGAGCTTCATGGCAAAGGGGGAACCCAGATCTCCTAGGGGTCCCCAGTCCAACACTCTAATCACTGCACCATAGTGACTTTCCTCTACATGTTTACTCAAAAGTAAGTCCTACCTAGGTCAGTTCTTCTTCACAAAACTGTGCACAGACAGGTGGCCTAAATGGATCCTTTTTTGCAACAGTGAATCAGTTGGGCCTTTTTCTTCTGCCCACCGCACAGATGAAATCTGCTTTCCCTTTTCTTTGTGATTTTCTTACCCAATATAAATAGACATATTTGTTTATCTGTGTAACATCTATGTTATGTATCATGCAGGACAAGTGGGCCTGTTAAACTAAATATGGGCTACCTGTCATGTGTGGTAGCCTGGTTAGGGAACAGTTTGCAAAAACATGAGGGCTGTCAAGCGCCTAGCAGGCTGCAGCATGTGGCTGGTAGACTCCACGAATGCAATAGTCTGTAAAATCCACACACGCTTCTCAATGTGACAGTCACTTTTTCTTTGACTGCTTTTAAGAAGCTGCATTCAGAACATGCAGACTTGGAAGAAATGGCCTACATTTTGCATTATTGAGCTTTAATGTGCAGCCTGTGCTTTCCAGCTTAATTTTTCTTGGCAGTGGCACATAATTTAGCCTTTCTTGGCATGCAAAGCTGTACAACCTACTTTTAGATACTTGAAAACTACCTTCTTGTCTCAGCATAGTTTAAGTTAAATATATCCTAAAACTTTTTTTCTGTCTGTGTACCATGTGTGCCAAGCCGTGTATCATTCTTACTAAATATCTCCCACACTGTTTGTTTCCTTCAAGTCTGGCAATCAAAACTTGCCATAATGTTCTGGTTGAAGCTTTGCTGATATCAAGCAGTCCATTCTTAAAGTTGCCACCAGGTCAGCCAATGACAAACCAACCTCTTTTAAAGATACAAAGTGACTTTCAGATTAGGCTTTTATGGTTCCAAATATTAATACGTGGCACAATAAAATTGATGTAATTTTACACAGGGTCCAGACTATGACATCTTTGGCTTGTAGTGTTCCAGGATTTTTCCACCTCTTCTTCCACCTTGTCCTCACCACAAAAAATCCACTAAGAGTAAAATGATAGAAAGTACTGTAATTCTTGTTGATTGTACCAGGAACTTTCCAGCTAGAAGCACCTGAGATCTGTTAAACAAGTTATGCATACAATATAGCTGACTCAGGGCGGTAAATAGCTGCTTGTCTTGGCTCCTTGGGTGAGCAGGGTTTATGGCCAGGCAACCAGGCATTTGTATAAACTGGGAGGGAGAGGTGCTTGTCTGGGACATTTTTTGTATTATACCCCTCAGACCATCAATCTGATGCCAAGTAGCATGGATGGATACCCCTGTAGCTAACTTTTCCTCCAATGAGTTTAAAGTGGCATGCATACTTCTTCCACCAGCCCATTCCCCCCCCCCCCTCACAACCCTGTGAAGGAGGTTAGGCTGCGAAATGGTGATATCCTAAGATCACCCAATGGGCTTGAGGACTAAGCAGGGATTTGAGCTGTGTTCTCCCCAGGCCTAGCCCAATATTCAAATCACCACATCACCCTGGCTCGCTTAGCCACCTAACCCATAATGAGTGGCAGGTAGGAAAGCTTTAGAAGAATAGGGACTTTGGGAACTTGTTACCATGCAAGGTGAATTTACACTGTACATAGTCTTGGGTTCAATTCATTGATGTTATTACTTGTCCAGGCTTCTTGCCAGCACAAGTTATATCCAGTCATATAAAAGAGAAGATTAGAGGCACATAGTTGGTTCTAAGGGAAGCAAGCTAATAGCTGCATGTGTGTTCTTTCCGGTGTGGCCACTCTGCTGATGGCCCACAGTTTTACCCACATATTACTCAGCCTCTCCCATATTGTCATCCAGACCTAGAAGCCACAGGCTATTGTTAGTAGCATGGTCAGTCACCACCAACTAAATCAGATGTGATGCTCCAATGCCACACAAGGCCATGCTGACAGCTGAACTTTGGAGTAAGAGAAATCCCACAGTCATTGTCATTGTGGTTCTCCACAGAAAGCAAGGCTGTCCATCCAGCAGCAGGTATGGTAGACCCATTTCTTAACAACAACTCTTAAAAACCAGAAAGGGGTCCAATTGACTGTTGTGACAGAAGAGGGGAGAAAGAAGATTTTCTAGAAAGGAGGTGGGAGGGAATAAATGAAAGGACACTTTTTTAAACATGAAAATTGTCAAGTTCTTTTACCCCATCCTGCA